TTTTAAAAAAAACATGTATATAGCAGTTCATATTTTTCCTTTCTACTCAGGCTCTAATAGTACCATTCTGTCTTTAAATTTATGATATTTTATTCATCATGAATTTTTTGCATTGAATAGATTTATTTATTTATTTTATTTTTGGCTGTGTTGGGTCTTCGTTGCTGCGCATGGGCCCTCCCCAGTTGCGGTGAGCAGGAGCTACTCTGCTACTCTCCTTTGTGGTGTGCGGGCTTCTTATTGCACTGGCCCCTCCCTCTGTGGAGCACAGGCTCCAGGCATGCGGGCTTCAGCAGTCGCGGCACACGAGCTCAGTAGTTGTGGCTTGCGGGCTCCAGAGCGCAGACTTAGTAGTCGTGGCACGCGGGCCCATCTGCTCCATGGCATGTGGGATCTTCCCGGGCCAGGACTCGAACCCGTGTCCCCAGTGTTAGCAGGCAGATTCCCAGCTGCTGTGCCACCAGGGAAGTCCCTGAATAGATTTTTTAAAATATTATTTATCTTGATTACTGAGGTTTTGGTACCCCTTTAAATTTTGTACCTGAGGTGAGTGCTTCACTTCCCTCACCCTTCTTCTTGTCCTGATACCTCATTAGAATCTCAGCTGCATGCAGGCAAGGATCTTTGTTTTATTCACTACATATTTATAGTACCTAGAACAGTGCTGGCACATAGTAGGTATATTTGTTGAATGAATGAATAAATCCAAATTCCCAATAAATTAATTTACTTCACAAAATGTTTCAAAGGTCAGGAAATGTTTTGTCAACTATATTTTCTTTGTATTGCTTCCTCTTTCAATTATAGAATGAAAGTCTATATACTTTGAATTATAATTCATGAATTGTTATAAAATATATAGAAGTAATTACTTCATCTATGAAAGCAGAGTAAAACGTTTAGTTAAAGAAATATTTTTTTCTCCTGTAAAATATTAATACATTTATATAATGGGCAAGGCCATATTTACTTCAGATTTCTGAAGGTTTTACAAATATTTAATAGTATAGATTTAATATTTAATATTATAGTATTAATATATAGTATAGCTTTAGCTGTTAATAGGATGGTATAGTTAGAGAATAATCTTTTAAATGCCCTGATATTTAAAATACAGCATATAGGAAACTTCACTATTCCATCTATCTATTCAAACATCTTAAACTGTGGTTAATATTCTGACATCAGAACTGTACAAGTAATCTGCTTGGTCTATAAAAACAACTCGAGCAAAATACTCAGTTCAAGAGCCATTGTCGGGCTTCTCTGGTGGGGCAGTGGTTGAGAGTCCGCCTGCCGATGCAGTGGACACGGGTTCGTGCCCCAGTCTGGGAAGATCCCACGTGCCGCGGAGCGGCTGGGCTCGTGAGCCATGGCCGCTGAGCCTGCGCGTCCAAAGCCTGTGCTCCGCAACGGGAGAGACCACAACAGTGAGAGGTCCACGTACTGCAAAAAAATAAATAAATAAATAAAAAGATGTTAAGAGCCATTTTCATTTCCTATAAAAATTACTAATATTAATATAAGGTCATATTTACTTAAAATTTAAAAAATGTTTCTCACTTAATATCATAGAGTATAATCATTTCAGTGCTTTGACTTTTAATATACATGAATAGCAAACTTTCATTAGACTAAAAGATAAGCCTTTATTTGCTGTAATTGTTCTGTTGTAGTAATCTAAATATTCTTCCCCATAGATAAATTCTAATTGAGGTAATAAAACACTAATAGGAAAAAAGATAGTACATATAAGCACAGACAAGCTAAGCTTACAGACATGCCCTATGTGAAAACAACCATTCCTCTCCCCATCACTGGTCAGGAATATGTTCTTCCTTGAATTCTGGGAAACAGAGATATTCCCCAAGCCCTAGTATTCACACTTTAGCAGGTGCTGAGAACTAGCACTCATCACAGCTGTGTTAGGGAGACAATATGTAAAGGATAAGGATTCTACAAGGTAACACCAATGAAACTGTGTAGGTGGAGGTCAGGGAAGGTGGAAAGGTTGGTAATAAGAAAACTGATCTTGGCAATCTGGTATCCTTACTGCAAGCCACAAAACAAGCATTGTATGTCGGTATGTTAAGGAACTCTAGGACCACAGCTATGACATTGTTTCCAAGGGAAAATGTGCTCCAAGTGCCAAGTAGCCAACCTAACAAATTTTTGGCTCTTCATTTTGTTTTTTTGTGTTTGTTCAGAGGATACATGTATTCCATGTTTATTTCAATTATGTTTTTTAAACTTAAAATTCTAGAGGACATCAGTTGATTTTTTTCACTTTAAAAATATTTTAACTGATTTTATTCTCAATTTATTCACTTGGTGGAACTTCATGTTTTTTATGTCCCTGAAGGATCTTGGAACTATCAGTTAAATACCATTTCAATAGAAGTTGTTAACAAATTAATTTTAGCTGGATTTATAAGGCAAGTATTTTGTAGTCATGTTACAATGTGCCTGAAAAAGCAATCTTTTTTTTTTCTGCAGAGAAAAATGCTTTCTGGAAATTCAAAAATTCTAAGTGAAAAATATTTTATTCATGTGATGGATCCAGTCCCTGACTTAATGAATACTATCAATAGGTAGTGCTATATAACAGTTAAAAAGTACTATAGGAACAGATGTCACTTAGCCATAGTACTGCCACCTAGAAAACAGAGTATAACCTGTGTATTACTATGGCTATACCCAAAGAGAATTAAGAGAGAAATTATCTGAAATTAGAAACCTGTTGAAGAGCTGTGAATAGTGATTAAACCAGTATATCTACAATTACTTTTTAAAAATAGAAACTATTTAAAAATAGAAACAGAATACACACACACACACACACACACACACACACACGTGTATATATACACATATATGCTCACTTCTGGTTTCTCGTATTTATATAAGGTTTCTTTCTTTAATCAAGATTTTTCATATTTAAACCCTTTAAAATGCAGTATATTCCCATTCTATGCTAGTTAACGTATCATTATTATGTATTTGCTTATGCAATTATTTGTTTAACATAACTGCCATTAGACTGTAGCTCCCTGTGAGCAGGGACTTTATGTTATTCACTACTGTATTTACAACCAGTGCCTAACAAGGTGTTTAGCACTTAGAGGCATTTAAATGTTTATTGAAAAAATTAAATAATGAATGATAATGGGAAAAAAAAAATTTCCCCCAAAGTAAAACTATAAAGAAATTTTCTATGTGGAATTCTTGGGCTCAGTAGGTAGATTTAAAGTTTTTGTCATTAGAGTTCTGTTTAGTATAGCAGAATATTAATTTACTGATCATTAAGTTAGTTTTCCTTAATCAGGGAAGGAAAGGAACAACCCTCATAACTTTTTGTTCTTTTTCATGATAAGTAAAATTGCAAAATACCAATCACAGAATTCTAGATTGGAAGGAACCTAATGGCAATTTAAGCCAACTTCTAAAATGCTTCTAATATCAATATTTTATTATAATATTTTCAACAAATATTTATTGATGTTTTTCTGTATACAAAATGAGAAAAAAGAATTGACTATGGATCCTGCTCTTAAAGAATATTCAGTGTAGTGGTGAAGATAAAATACATAAATAATTAAAATAGCATATTCTGTATATTTAGAAGAAAAGGAGACTGCTTCCAGCAGGACAAGAGGGGAGATGGAGAACTTTAAGGAAAAAGTGATCATCAGTTTAGATTTTGACAGAAAAATATTTGATCTTGCAAAGATGTTGGGTGGGAGAAGCTTTCTGAGCAGAGAAAATAGAAAGAGCACAGAAGTGGCAAAGGAGGCAACTCTAGGGAAAAGTGAGTGGTTTGGTTTTTACTAGAGCATTGACTGTGTGAAAGGGAATAGTAGACAACAAGTTGTAAAAGTTGTTTATTGAAGGTCTTGAATGCCAGATTAATGAATTTGGATTTTTTTTTTTTTCCCTGAAGCTTTGGAGTTTTTGAGCAAAAGATGACATGATGAGAGCCTTAAGAAACTAGAGACAGGAATTGTAACCAGGAGACTTTTGCAGTGGTTAGGCAAGAGATAGGAGAGTCTCAGGAACAGGCTGCCTCTCAGATTTGATCTACTACTATTTTCTCCTTGGTTCTACACTTTAGCCACAAAAATCTTCCTTTGGTCCTCACATACAGCAAACTCATTTCTATTTTATCATCTTTGTACTTGCCTGGAAATCACTTCCCCCGATTTTCAAATAGCTTCCTTCTTGTTTTCATAATTCAGTTCTCAGCTCAATTATTATCTTTCAAAAATGGCCTTCTCTGACCACCTAGTTTTCAGATATTCTTTCTCTGAATTCCTCTCTATTACATCACTCTGTTTTATTTTCATAAATCACATATCACTATCTTAAATCACATTTATTTAACATCTGCTCTCCCAAGTAGAATATAAGCTACATGAGGGCAGGGACTTTGCATTGTTTACAGTTGTATCCCCACCACGTAGAACACTACCTAACACATAGTATACCTCAATATTTGTTGAGAGAATGAACGAATAACAAATTAACTCTATGGGATGAATATTTAGGAAATAAAGTTTACAAAGTTGGATTCTAGAACCAGATTACCTGGTTTTGAATCCCAACTTGAAAACTTCCTATTTATAAAATCTTGGGCAAGATGCTTAACCTCTCTTTGCCTCATTCTTGTCTGTGAACTACAGACAATATGTGTGCCTATCACATGGAATTGTGAGGATTAACTGAGCTTTATATGTAAAGCATTTAGAATAATGCCTGGCACATAGTAAGTCCATGCAAGTGATAGCCATAATTATTATTATTAAATGACATAGAATTTCTATCATGTTTAGTCCAGTGAATAGAAATAAGATTATATTCTACGTTTTCTAGAATATAGCCTTAGTTACTAGCTTTTTGATTTGATTTTTATGTCACAGAAATATGCCGTCTGCAAAAAAGTGAGGGTAAAAGTAATTGAAAAACGTTACAGAAGCTTTAATTATTTCCTCATTTATTTCCAGGTGAAGGCAAAGCAAGAATCAGAACTGAAACTCAAATCATTTGCTCCTCCATATGTATGTAATGTGACACTTTAAACTTATACTAATTTTTTAACTTATTTTTTAAAGTGTAAACTAATTTTTTTTAATTTCCTCTATGTTTTAGGCTCTTCAATCAGAATTATATTTGCTTCCTATAATGTATCATTTAGGAAATATTTATTCAGCATCATCAGCAGTTTCTTTAGATGTGCAGCAGACTAATAATGGTGTTGCTGAGGCTGACGGAATAATACACAGACCACTTAGTGTAACTTTGTCAAAGGAAGAACCTGGAACAGATCCCAGTTGTTTAGAAAACACTTTGAAAAAGCTTCTTAACAAGAATCAGGAAGAAGGTGATTTCAACTGGAATGGGAAAGACAAAGACGTTGTTATAGTACATTTTAACAGTCAGGTCTGGGCAAATTCTGGGCAAATCTAGCCTTACGAATATAGGCAGTATAAAAGGAAAGCTACAATTCAATATGGGGATTTTAAAAACTAGTTTCACCAGTTGGGAGGAAAAAAAGACAATTTAAGTACTGTTCGAAAATAAAAATAAAATCAGGGCTTCCCTGGTGGCACAGTGGTTAAGAATCTGCTTGCCAATGCAGGGGACATGGGTTCAAGCCCTGTTCTGGGAAGATCCCACATGCCGCGGAGCAACTAAGCCCATGTGCCACAACTACTGACCCTGTGCTCTAGAGCCTGCAAAAAAAAATAAATAAAATTTAAAAATCAAATAAAGTCAAAATACTTACAGCACTTACGTAAAGTCTACCACCTTTTATAATAGTTTCAGATAAAGTTAAGGCTAAAGGAGAAAAGAAGTTATTGTTTCATAAAATCTTGATATTATTATTATAGTTCAGAAATATCTTAGCCAGGAAAACAGTATCAAACCAAAGCAAAACAACTTTAATGTTGGGAGACATTTGTATTTCAAAGACTTTAAAATTTTTTATATGGTTACACCCACCAATTTACTGATAATTCAGTTCTTAAAAAGTGGTAGGTAATTAAAGAAATCAAAATTAAACTTATAAACATATAAATAAAGCTGGAACTACACTCTAAGAATCGATTGAAAAAAAGTCAGTTGAATTTTTTTACTTACTGCCTACAGCAAATAAATTGTGATGGAAAAGCAAATATACTAAACATTTATGAATTAAATGAATTCTCCCCCAAAATAAGACACTCCTTTTTCTGTGAATCTATAACATTTTATATGTACATCTACTCTAGCTCTCAAAACACTATATTTTTTCAAAAGTAAATAGACCTGCTTTCTTATTAAGTTGCATAGGTATTGAATGGTGCATTGCATCATTCTCTAAACAGTTATTAGGAATAAGAGATACATGTCATATATTCCTATCAAAATGTCACTCAGAATCTACTGAGTTTTCCATTGTTGTTTGTTTTGGGGGGCAGGTGGGGGGAGTGGTATTTTACTATCAGTTTTAAACAGCTGATATATCTATTTTTTGTTCCTTTGCCTTGAATATATCTTTTTAGAAAATCCCTATTTGTTTTCTTTAAATGACTAAGTCCAGTGCCAGATAGGAAATAAGTGGTAGCAACCTGACTAAAACTAAACCAATATGGGCTTCAGGTTGCAAAATACTGTGGCAACTCTTGCAAAATGACTTTTCAAACACTAATATGACTCCAATTTTTTCTAAATTAAAAAAAATTGATTTCCCCAAGGGAAAAAAATCTGTATTAACACTACCAGGTTCACGGATCTCTTGTTCATGTAGATCATGTGGAACATTAGTGCTAATGTTTTAAAGACATTGTGTGGTTTTCTTATATGGAGAAATTCTGTTAAAATGAAGAGATATTTTATAAATGAAAATATATGTGAAATAACAAATGGCATTATATGCTCTGTATTTATACCCAGCACTTTCCAGAGAAGGATCCTCAGAATACTCTTTTAAAAGATGCTTTTGGCAAAAGCTTTTTGAAGACAACAAAGTTTGAATAAAACCCAACTTACCCCCTCTTGCAGATTCATATTGTACATAAAAACAGAGAAATCCTGCCATAGGGGTGTGTGTGGGGGGGTGGATTTGTGTTCTGTTAGGATTGCTTAATCCAATTTTTCCCAAACTGAATTTACCAAAGAATTCTCCTTTTGCATAAACTAAAGTTTCATGAAATTCAGTTTGGGAGAGTAAAGTTCATAGAGATTCTGAAACATGGGACAAGAGTATATAGTGTGTACATAAAAAACCAAAATTTTATTTTAGTATTTTCTTAATATTATGAACTTCCTTTGCTATGAATGGGCATCATCATCAGCTGGGGGAAAAGCCACTCCAAATGAAAATCAGAATGGAAATAATCAAATTGGAAATTCTGAATTGCCAGGATCACAGGAAGATTCAGATAATGATTATTTTAGCGGCAAAAAGAGGTAATTAATATGGATGTTGATTCTATATGTCATAATCTAGACTATAAGAAAAAGAGTGAGATATCCAGGGTACTGGTATAAAGACTTCTAATTAGAACAAAGATATGAGTGAAGTTAGTGACATTTTTAATTAAAATTACCTTGATTCTGATGTTTACTGTTAGATACTAATATTCCCTTCCAACATAATGAGGGATAATTTATTGCTTAAATTTATTCTGTTGTAATCCTTTTGTCATCAGGGGCAACCTAATGACAGAAAAATTTCTGTCTTCATTTGCCTTTCTTAGAATTAATTTTTCTGCCTCTTTTATATTCCTGGTTTTGAGTAAACTAATCATGTTTGAGTTTCACATTGGTATCATTTCATTCAAAATTATAGTACTTAGACAACAGTTTTGCATATAGTCTTCTGAAATTAAGATAAGGAATTTTATAAACAATTATTCACAAAAGAACTATAAGCAAAGTATGTTTACAAAATTTCCAGTTATTTTACCTTGCTATAGACATTGGACTATGATTTGAATTTAGCTATAATATAATGAAATATTATTGTATAACTCATGCTAAATGTAGTTTATATTGATAATTAATGAGTTTGAAAGATAATATAATGGTTTCAAGCAGACTTTAAAAATTTTTAATGTTATATTTGTGTTTATAGAATATTAAATAAAAAACATGAAAAGTTAATATTCATGGAATCATTTTTTAATATGACTTACAAATCTGTCATTCCCCTTTAAGTCAGTTTCTTTGGAAAAATGAAGATGATAGAACTAATATCTTTAGAAGAGAGGACAATCAGGTATGATTTTTAAATTTAAAAAAAATTTATTTATTTTTTTATACAGCAGGTTCTTATTAGTTAGCTATTTTATACATATTAGTGTATATATGTCAATCCCAATCTCCCAATTCATCCCACCACCACCACTACCCCCCGCCGCTTTCCCCCCTTTGTGTCCATACATTTGTTCTCTACATCTGTGTCTCTATTTCTGCCTTACAAACCAGTTCATCTGTACCATTTTTCTAGATTCCACATATATGCATTAATATACGATATTTGTTTTTCTCTTTCTGACTTACTTCACTCTGTATGACAGTATCTAGCTCCATCCACATCTCTACAAATGACCCAATTTTCATTCCTTTTTATGGCTGAGTAATATTCCATTGTATACATGTACCACATCTTCTTTATCCATTCCTCTGTTGAGGGGCATTTAGGTTGCTTCCATGACCTGGCTATTGTAAATAGTGCTACATTTTTTTAGATGTGGTATTGCACCATAATATTTATACTGAAATTGAAATGGAACTGCAGATTAAAATGTCTTAAATTTTCTAACCTTAAATGTTAGAGAAGGGGAGATAAACCTCAAAATTCAGGAGCCTGCCAATTCAGTGAAATTTCTGGGAGTTTCATGATCTGGGACATGTTGATGTATGCCCTTTAAAGTAAAAACCAGGTTTTTGTATCTTGCCCCAGCTACCATGAAGAATGAGTCACTTGATGGACCTGTTTGGAATTTGGAGATATACTGCATTCGGATGCATGGCTCCAATCTTTTTTTTTTTTTTTTTAAATCAAGTAATCTAAAAGACTGCCAACTTTGAGTGGGCCCAGAGCAAGAGAAGGCTCACAAGGTGATCCAAGAGGCACAGCAAGCTGGGCTGCCAGTTGTGTGCTAATATCCATCTGGTCCAGTGATGCTTGATATGTTAGAATACATATGTTGGTTGTTGGTTGTTGGTTATATATGATTTGTTGGTTGGAATGCTAAATGGAGTCTGAGACAAGCCCTGAGAGGAGAATCACAGCTCAGAGCCTTTGAGTTTTGGAGCAGAGGCATGCCATATTCAGCAAATAATTGTTTTATTGTTGCTAGATATTAATAAAATATGCTGTCTTCACACTTTAAAATTTTTCCAGCTGGTGGGTGCTTAATGCTATTTCACTGTGTTTTGAATTTTCATTTCCCAGATTACCCATACAGTTGATCATATTTTTATATTTTATAGACTCCATTTTGATAACTTTATTGGAGAACTACCTTTTCAAGTATTTCTATTGTGTTGTCTGCCATATATTTCTGATTAGTAGGAGTTTTTAATATACTTTGGAGGGTAGTCCTTTGATGCTTATGTGCATTGCGAATATCTTCCCCTACTCTGTGCCTTGTCTATAATCTACATTGTTTAATATGTTGTTTAAGTGTTCCATATCCTTTTTTTTTTTCTAACTTTTTCTTTCTATGTCTTGGACTGAGAATAGATGTATTAGAATCTTCTGTTATTAGTATTTTACTGTTTATCCTTACATCTCCTGTGGTTTTTGATTTATTTAGATTTCTATGTATTATTTGGCACAAAGTTGTTCTCATGCAAATAGTAATATCATCACTTTTGCATTATGAAGTGCCCTTCTTTGACTCATTAAATGCTTTTTTGACCTGAATTCTCCCTTACTGCATATCAAGATACTAACCTCTCCTTTCTTTTTGTTTACATTTATTTGGTATACCCCTATATTCCTCCCCTACTTTTTTCCCCAACTTTTCTGAATTGCTTTGTTTTAGGTATGTCTTTAACAGACACGCTAGAGTTGGGTTTCCCTTTGTAAGCCAGTCTGAAAGTCGTTTTCATTTAGTAGATGAGTTATGTCCATTTATGTTTTTGATAGGACTGATATATTTGACCTCAGATTGCTTATTTTACTTTATGTTATAGTTACTATGTGTTACTATGTGGTTTATTTGCACTCCCCCCCACTCCTGGTATTTAGGAAATCTGAATCTCATTCTAGTGTTTACCTTTATACTGATACAAATTTGTGCTAGTATTCCTAACCCTCCTTTTTCCTTTTCTTAAAATTTATGCTTCTGATTTTGATTTGTTACCTCTAAAATTATCCTCTGACTCCTATCTTTAAATTCAAGGCAATTAAAAAGACATCTTTCCCCCTCCTTTCTCCTCTCATGTACTTTTAGTTGTGTTATTTCTACTTTGTAAAAGAACAGAACATTTATGGGCTGTGCTTCTTGTCTTATCCTCCTCACCTTTGTTTTAGTCTTAGATCTATAATTAAATATGTTCAACACTTACTGCCAGTTCTTTTACACAAGATTTTTCAATCATTGCTTCATTGGGTAAAGCTCTACTTATTAAAAAAAAGCTCCCAGGTACGATATTCCCTTACTTCTTACATATTTAAAATTTTATCTAGAGCAGGAATAGGCAGACAAGGCCCACAGCTTGTTTTGTGAAGTATGGGACCTAAAAATGTTTTTTACATTTTTTAAAAGTTGAAAAAAATAAGAATTATGACAAATACCATATGTGGCCCACAAAACCTAAATTATTTACTCTGAGGCCTTTTACAGAAGTTTGCTCATCCCTGCTTTAGAGCCTTGGTACTTGAAGGATAGCTTGATTGGCTGTAACATCCTTGGCTTACACAGTTTTTCCTTGAGTTTATTAAAATGTTGCTCTACTGATGTTTTATATGTTACTGTTAAGAAGTATGATGCCAAACTGATTTTCTTTTCTTTGTAAATTGTCTTGGTTATTTTTGTCTGGAAGGCCAGAGGATCCCTTTAATGTGTAGTAGTTTTATCAGGCTATATTTCAGTTGAGAGTTCTAGGTCTGGTTTTTATGGGTACTCAGTGGGCCCTTTCAGTATGAAAATCAGGACTTCTTTTATTTCAAGAAATTATAACTCTAGAAAACAATATAAATAGCAGATCCATTCCATGGTTTTTTGGGTTTTTTTTTTTCAGAGACCTCAGTTGGTCTTATCCTAGTTCTTCTTTACCTTTTATCTCTACTACTTTCTCTATGATCTAGTTTACTATTTTCTTTATGTTTAATTTTCTTTATTCCTTTTATTTCTGTTCTCTATTATGCTTACTGTATTTTTGGTCATATCTGTTCCTTTTTGGATACGTGTTATTCATTTCTGAGACAGTGTTGTTTTTTCTTTAATTTATTTCTTCAGTTTGGTCAATTTCCATTTTACATCTTCCTGTTATTTTTCAATTTTTATTCTGAGTTTCTAAATATGTGATTTGTGGTGTTCATTAATACCTAAAATGATTTGATTTAATTTAATTTAATCTATGTTGGGAATATTGTTAATTTTTTCTCTGCTTCCTGGCTGCTGGTTTTGTTTTGTTTTAGTTCTCAGTTTTGAGGGTTTTCAAAAAGTAACTTTGTATGGATGCTATATTATGTTGTAGATTTTGTCTATGTTTATTTGTGTTGTATTTTTCTGAATCAGTAACAGGTGTTCTTATAGAGAAACAGGTGTTCTGGTGGTTTATTTTAGCTTGTATCAATAGATTAGGAAAGCTCTCTCCTGTTGTTTTAGTGAAATGCAGTTATTTATTTATGTATTTTTAAATAAATGGGGCCTTAAGGGAAGTGGTCTTTTTTCTTTGTATTCTTTCCTGCTGATTTAATTCAGCAGAACTCTTAACTTGACCACCTTCTTTTCTCTTACCACCTAGCCTTGACGAACATCTCTTGCTGCCAAAGAATTTTCCTCTCATCCAGTAGCTGTGTTTTCCCATAATTACCACCTCTGGCCACCTACATTTTAAAAGCCCCTTTCTTTTAGATTCCTCATAGAAAGAGCTTTGATTTACCATTTGGTACCCTTACTCAGTATTCTTCCACCACATGCAGGACCTTCTCCTTTAAGACTAAATTGTGATTGATGTTTACTGTGTTATCTGTGTATTGTGCTCTTTAATGCATAGTTCCCATCAGACTCTGCTCAGGTGTGAGCTCCTAAGCACACTCTGCTGGTCTAGGGTGGTTATTTCCCCACTTACATGTAAATTAAAGTATATGTAAATTAGAGGATTCTGTGTCCTAGTTATTCTACAGATACAAATTATGGGTGATTGTATTTGCTTTCTTTTTATAGTAGTTGAGAGCATGCGTGGAGAGATTTTAGTGGCTGCCATTATCCTGTGGGAACCTGACCTTGTAAGTTAAGGTCAATGCAATAAAATAGAAAAAGAATAATAAAACAAACAAAGTAGGGGTAAGGGATTAATGAAGATAAAAGTAGAAGCTAATAAGTTACAAAAGTTAAAAGCCTGGCAGAATTGAAAACAACTCAAGGTCTATAAAGTGGTAGTGGCAGAAACATTAACATTGGTAAGGCTTTAGGTAGTTTATCAAAACAAGAGTAGAAACACAAAAATTAGGTGAGATGAAGGCAATATAACACAAATACAGAGGTGATAAAATTTATGAGAATAAAATGTATGCTAAAATTTGAAAATGTGCTAGGATCTCGAATTTTCTAAGCAAATATACATGATCAAAATTGGCTCAAAATGAAAAAAATTCAATAGCCATCTTAGAAACATTTAAAAGTTGCCATAACAAGTAACTGAAATCAGAACTCTTGGAAGGAAATCATGTTTAGAAAGGAATATGGATTCTTTTTTTTTCTTCTTTTTGAATTTTAAGTTTGAAGCTCCTGTGGTATAATGTCCAAGTAATGTCCAGTGGAATGGAGAAGCTAGAGCACAAGAGAGGGTCTATAGTTATAAAGACAGATTTGGGAGTTCATCACCATACAAGTAAAAAAATGCATTACTGTTGTGCATTACCAGATGTTTACAAATAGATGAAAAACAATGTGTAACCCTACCAGATCTTACTGATTATCATGTTTGCTTACAGCTAGGTAAAAAAGAGTGCATCAGCCTACCAGACCTTATTGATTTTCCTTCAGTTGCTTGTCAACCTGCTCTTTCTCCAGGAATAACTGATATATCATTATTACAGATTGATAGTAAGTATGATGATACCATAAGTACAGATGATTCTGTGAGGTAAAGTTAAATAATGTTAATGAGGAGTTAATTGTTTAATGCATACACAGTTTCAGTTTGGGAAGATAAAGTTTTGGCGATAAAGGGGTGGTGGTTGTTGTGGAACATTATGAATGCATACAGTGCCATTGAACTGTACATTTAAATATGGTTAAAATGGTCAATTATATATGTTTTACTACAAGAAGTTAAAGTATTTTAAAGTCTGTGACTTATGTTGATTACTGCATATGTGTGTCACTAATATTATTTCTGCTTTTTAAATATGTACTTTAAAATATACATTTTTCCATGTAAGATATAAGTACAGTAACTTCGGTCCCAGGATAAATTTACTTAAAGAATTAAAACAAGAGGTATAACTACATGAGTTTTGCCTAGTTTCCATACATGTATATAAATGCAGAAGAGACATACTGTATTATTTATATATATATATATATATATATATATATATATATCCCCTATAGATACTGAAATGACTCCTCAGTGTTTTCCATCGTGGCACATGCTGTACTGCAGCCAGAAAACCAGAGTTTGGGGTAAAATTCATACTTGCTGTTGTAAGCATTTTTTAGTTTTATACTCTATATTTTAGGATATGAGCCATCTTTTAGCTTTTGGACATTGATGAGTATGGGTTATAATCTTATAGGAGAGAATATTGTCGAAAAAAATGAAACAAGTAAAGGAAGAAAGAAGATATCTGGAAAGAATTAAAGAAGAACTAATAAAGAAAGTTGAAAGGCTATTGGAACAAGGCAAATTAAAGCAATATCATGGTAAAGTTTATTACATATCTTTTATCACTATAAAGGAAACTCAAGTTTTACAGAATTTATGCCTTTGGAATAAATGATAAAATGATAATATTTACTATTTTACTGTTGTAGTTTAAGTGGTACACTAATATAAATTCACTATAGGAAAGATGAAATCATTGTTCAACTCTATATAATAAATGCAACATGCCTTTTATTAAAATTCAATTATTTTTTAAAATGGACATTTGTTTATTCATTTCAACATTCATTTATTAAATAAGTATTTATTAAGGGCCTACTGAACTTAGTCACTGTTCCAGGGGCTGAGGTGATACTAATAGGCCAACATAATCTTGTCCCTGCCTTCAAAATGCTTATGGTGCAGTGGGAAAATGATTATCAAGTTAAGTAGTAGTGATACATACTGATGACTGCTATGATAAAGAAATTACAAATTCTATGCATAGGAGTACAGAGGAAGAACACCTAAATTAGATGGAAGAGGTCAAGAAAGGCTTGCAGGAAAAGTGGTAGATGTACTAGAATCTGAAGTGTGCCTCCTCTTGGCTGTAGGCCTTCAGGCATTCTTTCCCCTCTGCCACCTAAATCTTCTTTTCCTATCTTCTCCTTCTACCCACTTCTTCCCAGTTCCTGGTTATTTCCTACCAGTCATTCAATCTCAGCTAAGATACCACTCTTGAAGCCTTCTTTGAGTCCCTTAGTGTCCCCTAGGTGCTCAATTTTGTTGGTATGTGTGTGTGTCTGCTTTGCTAAACTGACTGGATGAGTGAATAAATGAGAGAAATGAGGTAGGAAAAATAGACAGTTTCCTTGCAATAGAATTAGAAACAATGTTGTTAGAACTGGTAGAAATGGAAAAATGAGCCAGGGTGGAGAAAGTATAGGATAATGGTTTGAGAGATGTTAAATAATTTGAGAGGCCTGCATTTTGCATTGTATTTGAGGATAAAAAGGGTAAAAGGTATATATGGAATTAACTGCCTTTAGGATTCTCAATTTACAGCAAAATTATTGCTTCAGTACTAGATCTGACTAGAGGTTATAGACAATGTCAGGAGGTATTTCTTAATGTTCTACCTCATAATATTAAAGTGTGTCCCAGAAGTGGTGGCAGTGATTTGGCTTGTTGTGCTGTTAAAAGAGCAATTTTATCAGACAGTATTGAGCAATGGATTAGAAATCACAGGACAGTGATTCTAATACTAGAATAATCTTATACTTAGGCAAGTTATTTCTCCTCTTTGTGCCGCACTCCTTCTATTTATAAAATGAGAATCATTGGTCACTTTCTATTTCAACAGGAATGTTTCAAGATAAAAGGTATGTATCAGCCATCAAATATTTATTGAGCCTACTATATACCTCAGTTCTCAGCATTGTTTTAAATGCTGAGGATACAGCAGTAAACAAGACAAACATAGCCCTGCCATTAAGGAGCTTGCCTCTAATGGGAGGAGACCGACAATAAATAAGTAAGACAATGTCAGCTACTGATTAGAGCTGAAAAGTCAATTAAAAGAGTGCAGTAAAGAATGGTGGGGCAGGAGAGATGGTTTAGCTAGGGCTTTCAAGGAAGGCTTCTTTGAGCAGATATAACTAAGATTTGATTAATAAAATGGTAAGCATGTGAAGAGACAGGGTAAAAAGAGTCCAAACAGGAGGAACACTAAAAATCAAGGTACAGAGATAGAAATAAGCTTGCAGAATTAAGGACCTGAACTAAGACCAGTACAGCTGGAGTGTGATAAATAAGGAGGAATGTAGAGGGAGAAAATCAAAAGATCAGCAAGGAACAGATAGGCCAATTCAAGGAGTTTGGATTTTATTATCAATACAAGTAATATGGGAAGACATAAGAGGATTTTTAAACTAAGGATTTATGTGATTTTTAAAATATCTTAAAAAGATCAGGATGACTGCGGTATGGAATAGGCTGTAGAGGGGCAAGTATGGAAGCAGAGAGACTGTTAGAAAAATAATACAGCTTTCAAAAGATGATAGTGGATTGCCTAGGAATGTAGCATTGAAGAACGGATAATGTGCCAGATGCTCGAAGTATTTTGGCAGTGGTACCAGTAAAACTTGCAGAGGGATTGGATATAGGGCTGAGGAAAATAGTTAAAATCTTGAGTTAAAAGTTCCGTATAGTTATATATTTATTTATTTATATTTGCGATACGAGGGCCTCTCACTATTGTGGCCTCTCCCGTTGCGGAGCACAGGCTCTGGACGCGCAGGCTCAGCGGCCATGGCTCACGGGCCCAGCTGCTCCATGGCATGTGGGATCTTCCCGGACTGGGGCACGAACCTGTGTCCCCTGCATCAGCAGGCAGACTCTCAACCACTGCGCCACCAGGGAAGCCCCATAGTTTTATATTTTTAATTAAATCAATTTATAATATAGAATTTTAAAATTTGGTGTTTTCGTTTCTTCGATAATCTGAAAAAAAGAAACATATGCATATTCTGGTATACTAGCATGCAGTTTGTGTTCCAATTAAGTTTATATTTAGAATCTCATTGCTGTCAAAGTGATTCCCTAAACTGGCAGAGTTTAATTTCTAATTTTCTAAACCAGAAGTCTCAGGTTTAAGAAATTCTGCCCTACAGAAGTTTGGGGATATACCTGGAATAATGTTGATAAATGATGAATCAGAATCAGCTGATTACACAAAACAAGTCATTTTGGGGCTGAAAAATAAGGAAAATCTGAAAAAATATATTTTGCCTTTTCTTTCATAGCTTTAATTATATAAATAGTGAATTCAAATCAGATTATAGATAAAAGTAATTGAAATAAAAGGTATACACTTCTTGCGCTTCCCTGGTGGCACAGTGGTTGAGAGTCCACCTGCCGATGCAGGGGACACGGGTTTGTGCCCCGGTCTGGGAAGATCCCACATGCCTCAGAGCGGCTTGGCCCGTGAGCCATGGCCACTGAGCCTGCACGTCCGGAGCCTGTGTTCCGCAATGGGAGAGGCCACAACAGTAAGAGTCCCGCGTACCGCAAAAAAATAAAAATAAAAAAGTATACACTTCTTGCTATAGGTAGTATTTTGAAGAAAGATTTTCTAAACAAATTACAAGCTTAAAGAAGAACTTGATTTTGGTTCCTGGATTTATCAGTATTTTACTATATTTATAAGCAAGTCCTTTCATTATCCAATAAACATTTTACTCTTAACTCTAATTTCCTCAGAATATAAGAGAGGAAGGAGAGGAGAGAGGAATGGTTTAAATTAACTTTGCAGGTTGAAAAGTTTAAACAAACTATAGCCTTTGCTTTTTTTTTTTTATAAATAGGCTATGATGTTTGGAAGAAAAAGTACTTTGAAACAAAGAAAGTTACAGCATCATTGGAGGAGATTTTAACAAAACTTCGAGAAGATTTGGAACTTTACTATAAAAAATTGCTCATTCAGCTTGAAGCCAGGGTGATCAAGATGAGACCAAAGAATCTGGCAACCATCACAGACTCTAAGGTACTACTAAATATGTTCACATTCTGTTAGAGAAGTTCTATTTAAAAGACATGCTTTGTAATGTATTTAATGTACATACTAGCAATGTAATGTGCTAGTATGATCATATCTAGGATGTTTTAATGTATTTAATGTATTTAATGTACATACTAGCAATGTAATGTGCTAGTATGATCATATCTAGGATGTTTTGGGCTACAGGTAACAAAACCTTGGCTTAAACTGGCTTAGACAATCAGTAAATTCATGATCTCGTGTAATGCGTGCTGAGGAGATAAAATCAGCTGCTTAATGATGTCTTTAAGGGCCTAGGTGCTTCTGATATTTCCTCCCTATTATTTTCGGTGTTGGCTTCATTCTAAGACTGCTTTTCCTCAGGGTAGCAACAGAGTTACCAATGGCAAGTAGAGATATATGCCTCCAAAACAAGAGACAACCTCTTCTAGACGCATGGACTATATAAAACTTTCCCTTTGGCCTGATTGGGGATCAACCAAGCCTACCCTGGATTGATCATAGTTACCAGCGAATGCTATATCCTGACTTACCCTAATTAGGATCTACCTCTGTACCAGGGGAAAGGGTCAAGATTCTATGGGTAAGAGAGAAATACCTAATGAAGTATGGCAAGGGAGTAATAGTGAGTTATACATTTCTTTTCTTTCAGTTGGGGGTGGGAAGCACAGTTTGATAACCACAGAATCTATAGGTAGTGATATTCTAAATAAATTATAAATTATATTAAATTTTGATCAATTCATTTTCTTGAGATAGTCTTCAATCTTGACAGATGAGAGACATGAAGTTTATTTTTTAGTTGAGTAATTCTACCATATAATTAAACAACAAATTCCAGAGGCCATTTATCAGTTTAATTTTTGTTTGTTGATACCACTTATCCAAAAAAGATTTTATAATATGTTAATTATGATTGAGTATAGATTTAATTTTAGACATGATGAAATATTAAGTTTACTTTTTTCCCAGTTTTATTGAGATATAATTGACATATAACATTGTATTAGTTTAAAGTAGAAACATAATGTTAAGACATATGTTTATGTTGTAAAATGGACACCACAATAAGTTTAGTTAACATCCATCACCTCACATAGTTATTTTTGTGTGTGATCAGAACTTTTAAGATCTACTCTCTTAGCAACTTTCAAATATACAGTACAGCATTGTTAACTATAATTGTCATGCTGTATATTACATCCCTAGAACTTACTTATCTTGTATCTACAAGTTTATGCATTTGACCACCGTCACCCATTTCCCCTAATCCCCACCTCCTGCTTCTGCCAGAGCCACCAACCTCTTCTGTTTCTATGAGTAAAAGTTTACTATTTTAGATCTATTTAATATAAAATCCAAATAAGTTCAAGTAAAAGTTTCTTCTTATTAGCTGATACTTTTTTTTAAGCATTATTGAAACTTTTTATCTTACTGTTTTCTCAAGTTCAATATATGATAATGTTTTTTTCACAAAAGCAGCTTAAATAATTTCTTTGTTGACTATTACAGCTCATAAACTTTTCTGAACAAAAGTAACCAAAAGGCTTCTAGAATAGGTTTTCTCACATTAAACAGATTTTCTTATAAAATACAGTATTTCATTATTAAATATTTTTAAGTAATTCTAATATGATTCCACTGATAAACCATTATGCCAATTTCTAAAGTCTTGCTAAGTATCTTAATCTAATGTATTCCTCTTATAGTAATAGTTGTTGGTTTTCATGGTGCTAATTTAATGGTAACTTTTACAAATACGTATTTATTTTTATAATACATGAAAATGGTAGTAAAACAGAAAGGAAAGTGGTCCCTAAAACATAAGAAATCAACAGTTCAATAGTAATTTACTCCAAAGCAAAAAGTTTATTTTATGGAATGGGTTATTTTCATGATTTCCTTTTTTGATATTTGATAACACTTTGTAGTTTGTATTGGCAGGCAATTAAAATTAAAAATGAATAGATGTTATACTAAACAAAGATGTCTTTATATATTTCATACAGAATTACCTTATTATTCAGATCACTGAAGTACAGCATGCTATTGACCAACTTAGAAAATTGGATACTGACAAAATGAAACGGATAACAGAAATTAAGGTATTTTGCATTTCCCCTAATCAGATTATAACATTTATCTTGAAATAAAATATTTTGGTGTTTTAACTTTGGCTGTCAGTAGCATAAGGGTGGTAAGGACTGACTGTCTTAAAATTGTTACCTTAACAAAAACAAGAGCATGAATGGAAGATGGGTTCAAGATGGTGGACTAGAAGGACGTACTCTCATTCCCCTTTGCAAGAGCATGAGAATCACAACTAACTGCTGGACAGTCATTGACAGGAAGACACTGTAACTCACCAAAAAAGATACCCCACATCCAGAGACAAAGGACAAGCCACAATGAGAAGGTAGGAGGGGCGCAATCACAATAAAATCAAATCCCATAACTGCTGGGTGCATGACTCACAAACTGGAGAACACTTATACCACAGAAGTCCACCCACTGGAGTGAAGGTTCTGAGCCCCAGGTCAGGCTTCCCAACTTGGGGTTCCGGCAACAGGAGGAAGAATTCCTAGAGAAACAGACTTTGAAGGCTAGAGGGATTTCATTGCAGGATTTCAACAGGACTGGGAGAAACAGAAACTGCACTCTTGGAGGGCACACACAAAGAGGTGTGCACATTGGGACCCAGGGGAAGGAGCGGTGACCCCATAGGAGACTAACCAGACCTATCTGCTAGTGTCTGTGTCTCACCATGAGGACAAGGACACTGGAAGCAGAAGTTCTGGGAAGTACTCCTTGGCATGAGCCCTTCCAGAGTCCACCATTAACCCCGCCACAGAGCCTGGGTAAGCTCCAGTGTTGGGTCCCCTCAGGCCATACCACCAACAGGGAAGGAACCCAGCCCCACCCATCAGCAGACAAGTAGATTAAAGTTTTACTGAGCTCTGCCCACCAGAGCAACAGCCAGCTCTACCCACCACCAGTCCCTCCCATCAGGAAACTTGCACAAGCCTCTTAGATAACCTTATCCACCAGAGGGCAGAAAGCAGAAGCAAGAAGAACTACAATCCTGCAGCCTGTGGAACAAAAACCACATCCGCAGAAAGATAGACAAGATGAAAAGGCAGAGAGCTATGTACCAGATGAAGGAACAAGATAAAACCCCAGAAAAACAACTAAATGAAGTGGAGATAGGCAATCTTCCAGAAAAAGAATTCAGAATAACGATAGTGAAGATGATCCAGGACCTCAGAAAAAGAATGGAGGCAAAGATCAAGAGGATGTAAGAAATGTTTAACAGAGACATAGAAGAATTAAAGAACAAACAAACAGAGATGAACAATACAATAACTGAAATGAAAAATACACTAGAAGGAATCAATAGCAGAATAACTGAGGCAGAAGAACAGATAAGTGACCTGGAAGATAGAATGGTGGAATTCACTGTCATAAAACAGAATAAAGAAAAAAGAATGAAAAGAAATGAAGACAGCCTAAGAGACCTCTGGGACAACATTAAACGTATTAACATTTGCATTACAGGGGTCCCGGAAGGAGAAGAGAGACAGCAAGGACCCAAGAAAATATTTGAGGAGATTATAGTTGAAAACTTCCCTAGCATGGGAAAGGAAATAGCCACCCAAGTCCAGAAAACACAGAGAGTCCTATACAGGATAAATCCAAGGAGAAACATGCCAAGACACCTAGTAATCAAATTGGCAAAAATTAAAGACAAAGAAAAATATTGAAAGCAGCAAGGGAAAAACGACAAATAACATACAAGGGAATTCCCATAAGGTTAACAGCTGATTTCTCAGCAGAAACTCTACAAGCCAGAAGCGAGTGGCATGACATATTTAAAGTGATGAAAGGGAAGAAACTACAACCAACATTACTCTACCCGGCAAGGATCTCATTCAGATTCAATGGAGAAATCAAAAGCTTTCCAGACAAGCAAAAGCTAAGAGAATTCAGCACCACCGAACCAGCTCTACAACAAATGCTAAAGGAACTTCTCTAAGTGGGAAACACAAGAGAAGAAAAGGACCTACAAAAACAGACACAAAACAATTAAGAAAATGGTAATAGGAGCATACATATCGATAATTACCTTAAACGTGAATGGAATAAATGCTCCAACCAAAAGACACAGGCTTGCTGAATGGATACAAAAGCAAGACCCATATATATGCTGTCTACAAGAGACCCACTTCAGACCTAGGGACACATACAGACTGAAAGTGAGGGGATGGATAAAGATATTCCATGCAACTGGAAATCAAAAGAAAGCTGGATTAGCAATACTCATATCACACAAAACAGACTTCAAAATAAAGACTATTACAAGAGACAAAGAAGGACACTATATAATAATCAAAGGATCAATCCAAGAAGAAGATATAACAATTATAAATATGTATGCACCCAGCATAGAAGCACATCAATACATAAGGCAACTGCTAACACCTGTAAAAGAGGAAATTGACAGTAACACAATAATAGTGGGGAATTTTAACACCTAACTTACACCAACAGACAGATCATACAAACAGAAAATTAATAAGGAAACACAAGCTTTAAATGACACAATAGACCAGATAGATTTAATTGATATTTATAGGACATTCCAACCAAAAACAGCAGATTATACTTTCTTCTCTAGTGCACACGGAACATTCTCCAGGATAGATCATATCTTGAGTCACAAATCTAGCCTCAGTAAATTTGATAAAATTGAAATGATATCAAGCATTTTTTCTGACCACAACGCTATGAGATTAGAAATCAATTACAGGGAAAAAATTGTAAAAAACACAAACACATGGAGGCTAAACAATACATTATTAAATAACCAAGACATCACTGAAGAAAACAAAGAGGAAATCAAAAAATATCTAGAGACAAATGACAATGAAAACATGATGATCCAAAACCTATGGGACGAAGCAAAAGCAGTTCTAAGAGGGAAGTTTATAGCTATACAAGTCTACCTCAGGAAACAAGAAAAATCTCAAATAAACAATCTAACCTTACACCTAAGGGAACTTAGAGAAAGAAGAACAAACAAAACCCAAAGTTAGTACAAGGAAAGAAATCATAAAGATCAGAGCAGAAATAAATGAAATAGAAACAAAGAAAACAATGGCAAAGACCAATAAAACTAAAAGCTGGTTGTTTGAGAGGACAAAGAAAATTGATAAACCATTAGCCAGACTCATCAAGGAAAAGAGGGAGAGGACTCAATTCAGTAAAACTAGAAATGAAAAAGGAGAGGTTACAACAGACACCGCAGAAATACAAAGCATCCTAAGAGACTACTACAAGCAACTGTATGCCAACAAAATGGACAACTGGAAGAAATGGACAAATTCTTAGAAAGGTATAACCTTCCAAGACTGAGTCAGGAAGAAATAGAAAATATGAACAGACCAATCACAAGTAATGAACTTGAAACTGTGATTAAAAATCTTCCAACAAACAAAAGTCCAGGACCAGGTGGCTTCACAGGTGAATTCTATTAAACATTTGGAGACAAACCAACACCCATCCTTCTCAAACTCTTCCAAAAAGTTGCAGAGGAAGGAACACTCCCGAACTCATTCTATGAGGCCACCATCACCCTGATACCAAAACCAGACAAAGGTACTACAAAAAAAGAAAATTAGAGACCAATATCACTGATGAATATAGATGCAAAAATCCTCAACAAAATACTAGCAAACAGAATCCAACAGCACATTAAAAGGATCATACACCATGATCAAGTAGGATTTATCCCAGGGACGCAAGGATTCTTCAATATATGCAAATCAATCAATGTGATACACCATATTAACAAATTGAAGAAGAAAAAACATATGATCCTCTCAATAGATGCAGTAAAAGCTTTTGACAAAATTCAGCACCCATTTTTGATTAAAAAGCACTCCAGAAAGTGGGCACAGAGGGAACCTTCCTCAACATAATAAAGGCCATATATAACAAACACACAGCAAACATCATCCTCAATGGTGAAAAACTGAGTGCATTTCCTCTAAGATCAGGAAGAAGACAAGGATATCCGGTCTGGCCACTATTATTCAACATAGTTTTGGAAGTCCTACCACGGCAATCAGAGAAGAAAAAGAAATAAAAGGAATACAGACTGGAAGAGAAGAAGTAAAACTGTCACTGTTTGCAGATGACATGATACTATACATAGAGAATCCTAAAAATGTCACCAGAAAACTACTAGAGCTAATCAATGAATTTGGTAAATCTGCAGCATACAAAATTAATGCACAGAAATTTCTTGCATTCCTCTACACTAATGATGAAAAATCTGAAAGAGAAATTAAGGAAACACTCCCATTTACTATTGCAACGAAAAGAATAAAATACCTAGGAATAAACCTACCCAGGGAGACAAAAGACCTTTATGCAGAAAACTATAAGACAGTAATGAAAGAAATTAAAAATGATACAAACAGATGGAGAGATATACCATGTTCTTGTATTGGAAGAATCAATATTGTAAAAATGACTATACTACCCAGAGCAATCTACAGATTCAGTGCAATCCCGATCAAGTCACCAATGGCATTTTTTACAGAACTAGAACAAAAAAATCTTAAAATTTGTATGGAGACACAAAAGACCCCAAATAGCCAAAGCATTTTTGAGGGATAAAAAACGGAGCTGGAGGAATCAGACTCCCTGACTTCAGACTATACTACGAAGCTACAGTAATCAAGACAGTATGGTACTGGCACAAAAACAGAAATATAGATCAATGGAATAGGATAGAAAGCCCAGAGGGAAACCTACGCACCTGTGGTCACCTTACTTTTGACAAAGGAGGCAAGAATATACAATAGAGAAAAGACAGCCTCTTCAATAAGTGGTGCTGGGATAACTGGACAGCTACATGTAAAAGAATGAAATTAGAATACTCCCCAACAGCATATACAAAAATAAACTCAAAATGGATTAAAGGGCTTGATGTAATGCCAGACACTATAAAACTCTTAGAGGAAAAGATAAGTAGAACACTCTATGACATAAATCACAGCAAGATCCTGTTTGACCCACCTCCTAGGGAAATGGAAATAAAAATAAACAAATGGGACCTAATGAAACTTCAAAGTTTTGCTCAGCAAAGGAAACCATAAGCAAGACGAAAAGACAACCCTCAGAATGGGAGAATATATTTGGAAATGAAGCAACTGACAAAGGATTAATCTCCAAAATTTACAAGCAGCTCAATATCGAAAAAACAAAGAACCCAATCCGGAAATGGGCAGAAGACCTAAATAGACATTTCTCCAAAGAAGACATACAGATGGCCAAGAAGCACATGCAAAGCAGCTCAACATCACTAATTATTAGAGAAATGCAAATCAAAACTACAATGAGGTATCACCTCACACCAGTTAGAATGGGCATCATCAGAAAATCTACAAACAACAAATGCTGCAGAGGGTGTGGAGAAAAGGGAACCCTCTTGCACTGTTGGTGGGAATGTAAATTGATACAGCCACTATGGAGAACAGTATGGAGGTTCCTTAAAAAACTAAAAATAGAATTACCATACTACCCAGCAATCCCACTACTGGACAAATACCCAGAGAAAACCATAATTCAGAAAGACACATGCACCCCAATGTTCATTGCAGCCCTATTTACAATAGTCAGGACATGGAAACAACCTAAATGCCGTCGAGAGATGAATGGATAAAGAAGATGTGGTACATGTATACAATTGAATATTACTCAGCCATGAAAAGGAATAAAATTGGGTCATTTGTAGAGACGTTGGTGGATCTAGAGACTGTCTTACAGAGTGAAGTAAGTCAGAAAGAGAAAAACAGATATCGTATATGAACGCATACATGTGCAACCTAGAAAAATGGTACAGGTGAACTGGTTTGCAGCGCAGAAATTGAGACACAGGTGTAGAGAACAAACGTATGGACATCAAGGGGGAAGTGGTGGTGGGGGTTGGTGGGATGAATTGGGAGATTGGGATTGTCATATATACACTAATATGTATAAAATGGATAACTAATAAGAACCTGCTCTATAAAAAAAATTTTTAATAAAATTCAAAAAAAATAAAAAAATAGAAAGCATGAATGAAAAAAATACAATAATAAATTCTGTGAAAAGATTCCTAACAAGGCCAAAGTAAAATTGAATAAAATTTCATTAAGAAATAAAGTAAAAGAACCTTGTGAATCAGTATAGAGTCTCCGTAAAATATTTTGAAAGAAGTAATATTCCTACATTAGAGTTGTTCATAAATAAGTCTGACAAACCACTGAGCTCTCTGAGCTTCCATTTAATTTTATTTTTTTGTCCTCTCTTGGGTAATTATCTCATTCTCTCTGGTTATTTTCATATATATATATATATATATATAATGTTATATGAATGCTCTCGATTCACCTCTTTATCAGAAGTAGCTTTATGACCCAGAATAATGACCCCTATGTAGAATTAGCACTGTCCAATACAACTCTCTGTGATGGTGGAAATGTTTCATACCTGCACTGATAAGGTAGCCACTAGCCACGTAAGGATGTAGATTGTTGTGTGCCTGAGGAATTTAATTTTAGATTTAATTTTAGTTAATTTCAATTTAAATAGTTACATGTGGCAAGTTGATACTCTACTGGACAGCACACTTCTAGATTATTTTCACTAGCTTCATACTCAAGGCTAAATCCTGGCTCAGCGCTGAGAAGCTTAAAACTTAAACTACAGAAAAGGAAAAAGGCAAAGGACAATTTTAAACCAAAAAAAAGGAGTTATTTAAAATTCTTATACAGTCTGCACTCAAAAAAATAGTTCGTTCAGTGAATTAAAACTCCTGTGCATTCAAAAAACAGGAGAGAAATCAAATGTGGAAACTTGTCCCCTTAAGGATAGTTGGATGGGTAGAAGGGAGTAATAAAAATACGTCCAGTGCCTTCATTTATGACTCTCTCAATGCTCTTTTCTTCTGGAAAGCATACAAATTAGTTCTTACCATTTTTGTATATTTTAATTTTATAAATATTACATATAAATGTTTTGAACCCAAATTAGAATTATTAGTGAAAAAACAGGAAACACAAATGGAAAAAAAGAAATCCAAGTTTTCAGCCTATGCACTGGGGGAAAAAAATCCTACATTTAACCATAGTGCCTAATTGTCACATAGTAAACATTATAAGAATTTTTTATTGATTTCTGAATGATTTACCCCAAACTACCCATAAGATACAGAACTAAGGGGCAGAAAACCTAGCTTGACTGTTGCAACCATGTTCAAGATAATATAGCAGTATCAGTGCTTCTCAAAGTTCAATGTAATGTCACCTGGGGATCCTGTTAAAATTAGCAGGATCTGACTCAGTAGGTCTGAGGGGAGGCCTGAAAGTCTTCAGTACTAACAAACTCCCAGGTGATGCTTATCCACAGACAATACTTGGAATAGCAAAAGCTCTGGTACCAGATGGTTTAAGTTTGAATCCTGGCTGTGCCACTTACTAGTTTTATGCCTTGAGCAAGTTACTTAACTTCTAGGCATCTCAGTTTCCTCAACTGTAAAATGGGGAGAAATAACAGTATCTGCTTCAATTAAAAATTTGAAAGTATCATAGTACACTTAGAAGAGCACTTGCCACACTTATATTTCTTAAGTACTTATTCAGTTTCTAAGGGCTGGGAATTAAGGTTTTGGGGAATTTTTTTTAGGAGGCAGAGGTTTTTTGTTTTTACTACTTTCTTTGCACAATGAGAACAGATTTTGAAATAAGCAAAAGATAAAATTCTTTCTCACTCTAGTTTTTTAGAACCGTTTAATTTTATCATGCCTATATACTAATAAATGAAATTATTTGGTAGCATATCTAGCATGCGTATTCAAAGGGACTTATGAACTACACATTTACCATAGTAATCCAGTGCAAGTGAAGGCATTGAAGGCAAATGAGAGAAGACATGAAAGCTGTCATAAAAACCCTTATTTATATGACGATTATATAATTTTAGAAAGGTAAGATGAAAGTTCATTTTTGAAAGTCAATTGTTCTTTTATAGATGAGAAAACAAGCAGTTTCAGATTTACGCACATTGAAAGCTGAACTGGCACAGAAGAAATTTATTACATCTTTTCAATCTCAATAAGGTATGTTAACTTAAAATTTTTATTTGTTAAAAAACTTACTTGAACAGATTTGTTTAACCGTTGTTCTCCTTGTTTTCATATAAATTATAAGTTTTACATCTTTTCCTTTTTCATGTGTTTATTATACAGTGTTTCAGGAAATATTAGATATAAAAAAGCAAAATGGTGTCTATTTGACTATTTTTGAAGGTTTCAGATGTGTAACATATTATTTTACAGTACTATATTTCATTATTTTCATTTTTTAATAGTCTTAAAATGTAATACCTAGAATGACTGTAATATGAAAAATCATATATTTTAATAAATATGAATCTAACTTGCATCTACAGCTATGTAGAGATTAGTACTAAGAATTTAAATTTTTAAAATTTATTTTAAAAATACAGAGACAGCAGTAATTCAGCAAGTACTATGGAAAATGGTTGGTTTTACTTTGCCGTAAATAATTGTGCAAGTAGGAAATGAAATATTCTCATAACAGATGACTGAATTGTCATTTATTCAAATTTGGAGAGAGAAAAATGTACAGGGAAGGCAGGATTTATGTAAATCCAGAGTTTAAGGATGCAGATTTCTAATCTAAGTATTTATAGGAACTAATATAAGTTCTACACAATATTCTTCTTAATTGCCTTGAGAAAGGAAACTGAGACCTCTGTACATTTCTTTGCACAAAATGTCTCTTTTAGAAAGAAAAAAACAGTTGAGAAACCAATGTCTTTAGATAATTAAAAGTAAAATGCAGATATAGAAAATGAAAAAAATTTAACCATGGAAACAAAACTAACCAAGAAATATATTATAGATGTCCATAAATGAAGGAATATTAATAATTGGAAGGGTAAATGCCAATGAATAGAATCGGGTTCAACACCAGGTTTTTCATAAACATTTCAGATATAACCTCAAAAAAATAATTTAGTTGGAAAATATTAGGTGGCTCTAACCTACTAATTCAAAATATTAGTACTAAGTTATCTTCTTGTATTTTCTAAGTATTTTGATCCTTTATATTCATTATTCCCCCCCCCTGGAGGCATAAGTGAGTTTAATTCAGGTGACTCAGAGAACATGAGTGCTGTATGGAATCAAGAAGGAGAAAAATGATTTGCATCAAATGAACCTAAAGACACAAAATTGCACGTTTTAAATTTAGATTTATTGAATAAAAAATATAGAGCAAACTGATTCCCAAAGACTAAATTTTTAAAAATATATTTCTAAGCAAAAAATTTCTACTTCAAATTATACATATTTTAGAAATTAGCATTGATTGGTAAGCATATATTTTAATATGGAGAAAATTTTAGCATAATAAAATTGTGAAAGCAGTTGTTCCCAACTATAATATTAAACATCATACAGAGGAATATTTGATATGGTAGGTTGACTTGTTTCTTACCTTTATGTTGTTGTACACTGAAGATATAAATAGGTATGTATTTTTCAAATTCAAACAATCAAAGCATTTCTTTATTCTTTATCTGTTTTTGAGTACACTAATAACTAAAATATGTAGCAATCTGAAAAAAGGTATATATTTTTTAATCTCTTCAAGAAACTAGATCTGTTTAAACAGATCATTTTTCTAAACCTTAATAGTTTAACAAAAGATGTTCATCTCTGTCACAGCTTTGGTTTTAAAGCTTTCCACATTTCTTCAGTTTGCTGTTTGTCTATAGCATCTCCAGAGTAGTCAAGACAGTTTGCATGCCACATGCCAATGCCAAGTAAGCCACGGTTTTGTACATATGCTGCCTTTAGAGAAATGCTCTGAGGGTCATCATACCACACTTGATGAAAATGGCCAGCCTGATCCTATACAAATAAATTAAAATGTAACTTTAAAGTATTCAGTGCAATAAGAGGAAAAGGTGTTTCTTAAATCCAATGATTCAAGAAGGAGTCAATGAAATAATAAAAATTTTAGGGCATACATAATACTTTCCATGGTTCTATATGTAATACTTTCTAGATATCATTGCTTATGGCACTTTTACAACAATAGAGATTACACAAATGAGCCTCCCAGTATATCCTATTTAAAATCCTTCTCATGCCCTAAGATTCTTTCCTTGCTCTGATCTGATGATTATCAACCAAGATGTACTGTACACATTTGAATCACTTGTGAGGGCTTTTAAAAACAGATTCTTGGGACCCACACCACATGAAACCTATTGAATCAAAATCTTCCAGGGCTAGTGCTATAACATATATTTATTTGTTTCTTTATGTTATGTTTTAATGTTCCATTAGGTGATTCTGATATGTAGCCAAGGTTAAGGAGAATCACTGCTTTTGTCCTCTAAAACCAGCTTATATACTTTTTGGGATTTCCTTACAGTTCCTGGAAATGTGCCTAGTTAGGAGCTCAACAGGTGATTTTGTTTATGATGAATGTCAGTGGACAAAGAAAACATCTCCTTTTCTAGGTCTTACAGAATTGAGTCTAAGAGCCTGTTGGGTCTGGACCCCATGGGTGACTTAGGTACCCACCTAAGAACCACAAACTAGAAACTAGTCTTATGCTCACCTTCCACCCTGTAAAGTCCTTCTCCCCAGCATCACTTGCCTCTATCTAGTGCTAAACACAGTCTCTTTTAGAAGGTATGTAAGCTATGGATAAAGGATAAAAGAAAGAGGAAAGGAGCAGAATTAGGCAAAAGCGTAAAGGAAGAGAAAAAGATAGGAAGTAAAAATAGAATGATCTGTGATTTAAAATAATTTACTGATTTTTATATACATCTGGGGAACTCTTTAAAGACAGTTCTCAATGAATACCAGTAATATTTCTATTTATGGTAGCACCACGAGAATTAGAATCATCTCCTAAGATGACTGATTTAAAGGACAATAGTCACTTGGTAAATGAATAAGCTATGGCATATTTAAGTATAGTAGATTCATTACATACAAGCATATCTCATACTATATCTTATATTCCGTTCTTTAAAATCTTTAGAACTAGAAAAAGCTATACATGCTCTAGTTCCAATTGTGATTCAATATTAAAAGGCAACTTGCAAAACCTGTACCTAAATATAGAAAGATTTATTTTTGTAGAGTCAGGGGCAAACCCAAAGACATGCACCTTTGAATTTTGCCATCATTCTAGCTAGTACTTTGAGCCTTTTTGATACGTTAAGAAATTTCAAATGCCTCAAATAGTGAAGGATCAAAGGATAAAAAACTGAGTATATGTAAGTTTGACAGATGTCTGGTTAGGGAATGTATGCCTCCAAGAATATTAAGTGCAAGATGAAGCTGCTATTGCTGAGACAGCATAAGAAAGCAGAATGATTCTCTTCAGTTAAAACAAAAACTTGATTTGGGTTGCTGTGGAATTTTACAATGAATGAAGAAGAACAAATTGGTTATAAATAGATGGTTGTCTGAAGTGCCATTAAATGAATGGTTTTCAAGGCTCATCAAAATGTTTTCTGAGTTCTAAAATCTTAAAGAATGTGTCTTCTTATGCATTAAGGAAAAAATAAGTCAGGAATTACAAAAAACAGTACATCATAGGGTAAAGTATTTATTCAAAATTACATATTTCCAAACTATGTATAATTGGTTAAACAAACCCTTTACCAAACTGATATCCATGAAACACTGTTCCCCTGCATGTTTCTAAGAGTGCTAGGAAACAGGGTTCTATGTTAAACAATTAAATGGCTTTATGTACTGTAGTACATCTTAAATCCTTGAATATAATGTTATATATTATAAATCTCCAAGAGAGACTTACAGTTTGTAGTGTTTTCCAAATATATTTGGCCATGGCACATGCATGTGTATTTGTGTGTGTTTGTGTTTTTTTAGTATATTCTTTTTATGTTTAATCTTTAAAATGAAAAAAATATATACAATTTTAAAGGTTACTTTCCATTTACAGTTATTACAAAATGCTGGCTATATTCCCTGTGTTGTACAATACATCCTTGAGCCTATCTTAAACCCAACAGTTTGTACCTCCCACTCCCCCACCCCTGTCTTGCCCATCGCCCCTACTCTTCCCACTGGTAACCACTAGTGTGTGTGTGTGTGTGTGTGTGTCTATGTGTTACTAACAGTTCCCAGAACAGAGTTCTATAAATACTTTTTGGTAAAGACAGGATCACAGTGTACCCTAGTTTAATGTTTATACTTAAGATTCTAAAGTTTAAAAAGCTCTACACTAAAGCCTTCTACATAATTGATATACAGGCATGTACATGTATATCAATTATAATTTATTAAATTTGTATATTTGCAGTCATCCTTTTGTAAATGGGTACCAGACCATTAGAAAGAAATATAAATTGTTGCTGGAATTAACGTTCATCATATCATTTTAGGGTTCCTTTTGTAGTAACATAATTCAAGGTAAATTAAAGATGGTTTGTACTTAGATTTTTGAGGTGTGAAAAAGTTTTTATTATGCTAAAGGTAAACTATGGAAAAGATAACTTTTCTTTGTCCCTTTGGTATGGCAATTCCTATTTATCAAACACTACCTGACAGAATTGCTAGTCATTTACTCTGTTTCTTCAAGTTTCTGTTTGTAATATTTTTCTGTCTCTAATTTTTAATTTTGTTGAATATCACATAGTTTGAATTGTGGAATAGATTTGAAATGATACCATTTTCCATTGTGAAGTCCCTGATGACACATCTCCTGTTCTCAGCCTCATTCCTCCCTATATAAGAGCCTCATCAGAATTTTGAGGCTACTTTGAAATAGAGGTTTTCAGAGCAAGTAACCCATTTTGGCCCAAAGCTCTTTCAAAAGCCACAGACATCATTTATAATTGACAACTCTTAAGGAAATCCTGTTTGTGACACACATGTTTTTATTATATCATCTAAAATGACAAGTGGCCCATGCAGAGCAGTTCCACTATTAGCATAACTTGAATTGCTCACAAGGGAAGTAAAGTTCCTGATTACACAGATTCAAAGACAAGTCTACTCGTGTAAACAGCAGTCTGTATGTTGTACCCTATAAGAAAACTGATAGAAAATCTTACTTTCAAATATGTAATTATGAAAATACACAATTATGAAAACTAAAGATTGATAACTTGTGAAAAGTCTTACTTGATAGTGATAATAAGGAGACTGCTGAATTTTATCCCACAGTCTTCCAGAAGTAGAACTATTTACTTGCTTCATGATCATTTGATAGGCCACCTGACGGTATACAGCATCTTTACAAGGGTATTTTGCAGTGGTACAAACATGATTCTAGAAATGCAAAAATGTTCATGTTATAGATTATCAATTAAGCAAATCTTAAGCAATTAAGCAAATCCAAAAATATAATAAAATTATTTATTAGACATAAAATACTATAGATAGATAACCTGACTATATGGAATAAAAGTTAAATTTCATTACTAAATAGAAATATAATATTCAGAAACTTGTATGGGATTTAATTATTTAAAATAAACTGTCTACATTTTAGTCTCAAACTATATTAAATAAATTCTCAAAGTGTATATATTCTATATAGAGAGAAATTTCTAAATTATAAATAAAATGAAGTTTATATAGAGGAAACAAAACAGACTCTAAAAAATATAATAGAAAGAGAAAAAAATTACATAAGAAATGATCTGTTCTTACCACTGATAGATTTTGGCAGGTATAATCATAACCATACCAGGGAATACCCATTACAAGTTTCTTAGGGTTAATGCCTATCTTGATGTAGTCATCATATCCTAACCAAATAGGAACAGAAAAAGCATATTTTTTTCTCTTCATATGTCTACTAATGTGTTCATACAAGCTATGCAACCACTCAGAATCCAAGTTTGTAACAACCGGTACATTTATGTAAAATATTAATATGGTGTTTCTCGAATATATTATAAAAGTCATCTCTTAAGAACTATAAATTTGGTATCACTTTCTAAACAATTTCTTTTTGAATAATAGAAAATATTCAAAACAATTTAGATCAAATTGAAGCAAAAAATTCACAAATTTTAATTTTAGGAACAATGACACATTTTAGGAAAGCATGCTAATTGTGTCTATTAACTGCTAAGGCATGGATTTGATATTCTAGATTCTAAAGCTTTAAAAAAAGTTCTATAAGTCTTATACTTTCTGGCAGGTGTGGTCTCACAATTACTTACAGAACACACAAGTGTTCCTCATTTTATCAATATCCTATAAGCATGGATTACAGCTTGGGATAAGGAATGACCCCATCTTACTCTGTAGCAGATAATCTGTAGTTATAGGAAACAGAGAAAAATGAACAAATTCCTGGTACTATCAATCCCTTTCTTGCCCATGCTGCAAATTATGTTTTCCCACCAAGATATGTTCCAAGATTAACTAGAATGTTGAGTAAATTTGCTGTTTTTCAGAGGCTTTAAAGTTATTGTGTACTCTTAAATATCCAAGAGAGGGGTGGAGTATGCATCATTTCCCAAACATATTTGACAATGAACCTTTTATTGATATACATAATTATCATCTCTTTCATAAACACAGTTGGCAAACATTGGGTTAAATAATTATTTTGTATTATAACACAAATTATTTTTCAAATTTTAAATAGTATATGCTTATGATCAGACTATTCTATCCAGACAATTAGGACGTGATAAAATGAGGCCAGGGTCTATGATTTTACCTATATATTAAAAATAAAATAATTTTTATTTATTACTCAACACTTAAATCTATGCTAACTATCCCAGAAAATCTCACTTAAGTCCAAAAGATAGCAAGCAATCTTTAATTCAATTGGTTGATGGGATATAAACCAATCCAAACTTTGGAAAGGATAATGCAAAGGCCACATCATATGAATGACAGATCAGAAGTACTCTTTTTTTTTTTTCTTGCGGTACGCGGGCCTCTCACTGTTGTGGCCTCTCCCGTTGCGGAGCACAGGCTCCGGACGCGCAGGCTCAGCGGCCATGGCCCACGGGCCCAGCCGCTCCGCGGTATGTGGGATCTTCCCGGACCGGGGCACGAACCCGTGTGCCCTGCATCGGCAGGTGGGCTCTCAACCACTGCGCCACCAGGGAAGCCCCAGAAGTACTCTTAATTCTGGTAGGAATATAATTTTTAATGTAGCATGGGTACTAATAGTAAATGCCAAATAAGATAAAGCCAGTCCTATCAATCATGTGTAATAGGTACTCACATTATAGGTACCTTTGCTATTAAATTATTTAACATTGGTTATTTCAACAAAAATATTCTATCAAATTCTAAGTAAGCAAATATCTTCTTCGTGTAACTTTCTGACAAGAGTGTTGACTTGAAGTTAGAACACCTGCTTCAGTTCCAACCATATAATACTTAATAGCTGTGCAATCATGAGAACTTAACACCCTTCATCTTATCTATAATAGAGGGTTAATATAATACACCTACCTCCCAAGACTTTTTAGAGATAATTGAAAACTTCAGAACTTTAAAACTTTTTGTAAACTTTAAAGCTCTCAAATTAAGAGGTTTTTATATGTTTCAAGAAAGCGTTACAAATGGAAAAGGTATACAAATGACTTAGAAATACTAAAATATATCTTAATGTTTGAGGTTATAGAATTAATATCACTGATAAATGATTGTTTTGTGAATTCTTACCAGTTGATGTCTTAGTATAGGGAGAATTGGCTCCTGCAATACATTGTGACCAGACCAGACTTCATTCACCATAAGACATCACAAAGAGAAAGTCACAAGCATCTGCAATTCCAGTATAATTATAGCACCTCCTACCTAAGCAGTTTGGAGACCAAGATACATCAAATGTTACCTGTGGGAAAACCATTTTATGTAACATGATCAAATATGCATATTATGGCAGATGTTTTGTTGATTATATATTCTCTTGCCTCATATTACTCCCCCCCTCAAAAAGAACCACTTACGTGTCTGACTTAAGGTTTGACCTGTATGGAACTAGAACAATTCTAAGAAATATATTTTTTGCCTACACGGACTGACCCAGACATATATTTTGGACAATGTTTTGGACATATATTTAGATAATGGACATATATTTGGACACAGGCATATTTGGACATATACAATGACCAGGAGCAGGCACTGTGTAAAAGAGGAGTTTAAAGTCACATGCCTCCAGAGGACAGACTAGCAACTCGACTGACTGAAGGAAACTGGTGTAATCACAGTAGGGTGTGGTAGGGCCCATAAGCAACTAGAGAGTAAAAGCACACTAAAAGAATTCAAATACGAAAGTTCTTAAAAATATCATGCAAGCTAAATAGGTCATCTCTTGGCACAAGCTTACTGGACTGTGTTGGCAGCTTGAGCCCTTGATTTACAATTACTTTACATGGTAAGTTTAGTCCAACATTATAGTTAAAGAGTAGTGGTGTTTTATGGCTACAAGTATAAATTAATCAACTCAAAATGTTAAACAAATCACTTAAATGATCTTATGGAAATATTCAAATAAAACTTGAGTGTTAAATTATCTTTCATTTTTGAATAGTGAGCCAGTCCTCAATAAGGATGAATCTCTTTCAAAGATTTATTGCCGGGATTCCCTGGTGGCGCAGTGGTTAAGAGTCCGCCTGCCGATGCAGGGGACATGGGTTCGTGCCGCGGTCCGGGAAGATCCCACGTGCCGCGGAGCGGCTGGGCCCGTGAGCCATGGCCGCTGGGCCTGCGCATCCGAAGCCTATGCTTCGCAACGGGAGAGGCCGCAACAGTGAGAGGCCTGCGTACCACACACACACACACAAAAAGATTTATTGCCTTAAGATGTTGGTCAAAGGGTCAAACTTTCAGTTATAAAATAAATAAGTTCTGAGACCTAATGTAAAAAAAAAAAGATTTATTGCCTTAACTGAATATTAGTTAGCTTTATTTTATTAATATAGGTCTGCAAACATTCTAAAGCTTCATTAAAAGTTTTCTTCTTAATTAGGCTCTCAATAAATGTATTGATTAATATTACAAAAAATTGAGGTATTTTAGTTAAATTTTTACACTTTGGCTAATTTATTCTACTATAACTCTTTTTAGGACTTTCTCAAAATTCTCTCTGTAATTCTTTCATTATTAACACTAAAGGAAGCTCTGCTTTGTAAGTCTAGGCTTTCCCCAAAGCTCTCCAGCAAAATAGGTTATAAAGTGAAATTTTTACATATTGGACTTCATTTTATCACTGTCCCCTCTTACAAAATGGAAGTATAATAAGGTAATAGAGAAAGTGATTACCTCTAAGCAAGTAAATTTCAAATCCATTTTGTAAGTCCTTACCTCTCTCCTGAGCAGTGAGAATATTTTCACCTGGGTTTCCTCCTGAGCAGTGAGAATATTTTCACCTGGGTTTCCTGTCATGGATAATCTCATATTTTTGAGAAGGCAGCATTATTAGAAAATAAATTAGAAAAGAAATCAAAAGACTTTGGTTCTTTTCTTGGCTCTCTTATAACTAGGTTATTTCATTTTAAATATCTGATCTGTTTTCCCACATGTAACAATGAAGGTGTAGAAAGAATTCTTCAAGAGCACTTCTAGCTCTTTAATTCTGTGATCACAAATTCTATAATCCTAAATTATCATCTTTTCCCAAAAACTCATTTCTCCTTGCTGGGGCTCTATATTAGTCATTTTTTTCTGGTCACCAGTTTAAGAACCTTTGGGCCATTTTGTGACCCTTCTTCCCTCACACCCCATAACTAATCTCACATTTTCCTTTGAGTGGCCTCTCACAGTTTTTCTGCCCATTCCTTTCCATTAATTAATTAATTCAATGAATATTGAACACTTGCTGAGTGTTAGGGTTATGCCATCATCCCAGTTCAAACCATAAATTCCAAGTTATTGGATTACTGGGTTAGTCCTTACAGGTCTCTCTTTCTCCTCTAGACTTTTTTACGTACTACCATAAATAATCTTCCCCACATACTTTCTATACACATTACCCATTACATACAGAATAAAATGCATACTCTTCAGTGTCACATCCTGGATCTTCCACAATCTGGTTCATCTTGGCAACTCTACTTCCCACTAACTTAACTAACATGAACTTGACATAGTAGCCCAAATTGCTCTACTTGCCCCTCAAACATGGAAATAGACATTCCTACTGCAAAATCTTTGCTCAGTCTCTTCCCCCTTGCTCTTTCACTATAGCTTAATCAGGACTAGCAAATAAGTTCCCATATATTAATTCTACCCTATTAACAACAGCAATCTAGAGAATGAGGGAAAAGTTTCTGAGACCAAAATGTGTGAGGAGAGGAGTACGGTGGCTTGCATACCAGGTATTTGCTATTCTTGATCTAAATTGTACTCATCTGAAAAGCTGAATTCCACACTGACAAACCTTCCGTACTTGTATAAAGCCACAGAGTTGTTGATCGTTACATCATTTATTATTTTTCCAGTGACTCTCAAATTCATGTTGACCAACTACACCAGAATCACCTATCACACTTGGTAAAAATACAGTTCCTAGAATCTATGCCAGAATCAACTTCTGGGCATATTTTTAACAAGCACTCCCAGGTGATTCTGAGATAGATTTAGAGTTATTAGTTTATACTATATATATCCTACTTAACTAGACTTAAAATTTTGAAAGGCAGGTATCATTCATATATTCAATAAGTATTTTTTAAACATTGTGTTAGACATCAAGGAACTGGTCCCTGCCTTCAAAAAACTCACTGTCTAGCCTAGCAGTTTTTTCTCAGCTTTACTAAGGTATAATAGACAAGTAAAATTGTAATATATTTTAAGTGTACAATATGATGATATACATATATATGCAAAAGTATTCCCATCAAGTTAATTAACATAGCCATCGCCTTATTTATTTTGGTGATAACACTAAAATTCTACTCTCAGCAAATTTCAAATTATACAATACAGTACGATCAACTATAGTCATCATGTTATGCACTAAATCCTCAGACCTTATTCATCTTACAACAAAGTTTATACCTTTTACCAGCCTAACTGTATCTAACTACAGTTTCCTTATTGACGTTTCCCTATTGATTATCTGTCTGAATAAGCTGTCCATTGCTGAAAGTGGAGTACTAAAGTCCTCTACTATTATATTGCTGTCTGTTTCTCCCTTCAGATATCTTAGTGTTTATTTAATACATTTGGGTGCTCTGATGTGGAGCACCCACAATAAATATTTGAAATTGTTATATCTTCTTGATGAACTGACCCTTTTATAATTATATAATGAACTTTGTCTCTTGTTACCATTTTTGGCTTAAAGTCTATTTTGTCTGATATAAATATAGCTACCCCTGCTCACTTTTGGTTTCCATTTGCCTGGAACTAGTTTTTCAATCCTTTCATTTTTAGTCTATGTGTGTCCTTAAAGCTGAAGTGAGTCTCTTATAGGCGGCATATAGTTGGATCTTGTTTTTTTTAATCCATTCAGCCACTCTGTGTCTTTTGATTCAAGAATTTAGTCCATTTCCATTTAAAGTAATTACTGATAGGTTTCTACGTAATATTGCCATTTTGTTAATTGTTTTCTGGCTCTTTTCTAATTCCTTTTTCCCTTTCTTCTTTTCTTGCTCTCTTTCTTTGTGATTTGTGATTCCCTGTAGTGGCATGCTTGATTCCTTTCTGATTTTCTTTTGTATATCTAATGTAGGTTTTTGCTTTGTGGTTATCATGTGGCTTATATTAAAAAAAATTTTGTAACTATGTATGGTGATGGAAGTTAACTAGACTTATTGTGGTGATCATTTTGCAATATATACAAATATCAAATCATTATGTTGTACACCTGAAAAAATAATTTTTTAAAACATCTTATAGTTACAACAGTCTATTTTAAACTGTTAACAACTTAGAACACATACAAAAGCTCTACATTTTTAGGGCTTCCCTGGTGGCACGGTGGTTGAGAATCTGCCTGCTAATGCAGGGGACACGGGTTCGAGCCCTGGTGTGGGAGGATCCCATATGCTGCGGAGCAACTGGGTCCGTGAGCCACAACTGCTGAGCCTGCGTGTCTGGAGCCTGTGCTCCGCAATGGGAGAGGCCGCTGTAGTGAGAGGCCCGCGCACCGCGATGAAGAGTGGCCCCCGCCTGCCACAACTAGAGAAAGCCTTCGCACAGAAACGAAGACCCAACGCAGCAAAAATAAATAAATTAATTAATAAACTCCTACCCCCAAGATCTTAAAAAAAAAAAAAAAAAACTATATAAAAAAAAAGCTCTACATTTTTATACTCCACCACCCGACATTTTATGTTTTGGATGTCAAAATTTACATCATTTTTTTATGTGTCCACTAACAAATTATTGTATAGTTTTTTTTAAGAAGGAAACATCCTAATGTGTTCCTTTATAATTTCTGTAATATACTTTTTTATTGACGTATAGTTAATTTAAAGTGTTGTGTTAGTTTCAGGTGTATAGCGAAGTAATTCAGTTGTACATATATATATACCTATTCTTTTTCAGATTCTTTTCCATTATAGGTTATTACAAGATATTGAATATAGTTCCCTGTGCTATACAGTAGGTCCTTTTTGTTTATCTGTTTTGTATATAGTAGTGTGTATATGTTAATCCCAAACTACTAATTTATCTCCCCCCTACCGCCCCCCCACCACTATCCCCTTTGGTAATCATAAGTTTGTTTTCTTTGTCTGTGAGTCTATTTCTGTTTTATAAATAAGTTTATTTGTATCACTTTTTAGATTCCACATATAAGTGATAACATACGATATTTGTCTCTGTCTGACTTCATTTAATATGATTATCTCTAGGTCCATCCATGTTGCTGCAAATGGCACTATTTCATTTTTTATGGCTGAGTAATATTCCATTGTGTATATATACCACATCTTCTTTATCCAGTCACCTGTCAGCAGACATTTAGGTTGCTTCCATGTGTTGGCTATTGTAAATAGTGCTACTATGAACACTGAGGTGAATATATCTTTTCGAATTATAGTTTTGTCTGGGTATATGCCCAGGAGTGGGACTGCAGGATCATATGGCAACTCTATTTTTAGTTTTTTAAGGAATCTCCATACTGTTCTCCATAGTGACTGCACCAATTTACATTCCCATCAACAGTGTAGGAGGGTTCCTTTTTCTCCACTCCCTCTCCAGCATTTATTATTTGTAGACTTTTTTTTTTTTTTTTAAAGAAGATGTTGGGGGTAGGAGTTTATTAATTATTTATTTATTTTTGCTGTGTTGGGTCTTCGTTTCTGTGCGAGGGCTTTCTCTGGTTGTGGCAAGCGGGGGCCACTCTTCATCGCGGTGCTCAGGCCTCTCAATATCACGGCCTCTCTTGTTGTGGAGCACAGGCTCCAGACGCACAGGCTCAGTAGTTGTGGCTCACGGGCCTAGTTGCTCCGTGGCGTGTGGGATCCTCCAAGACCAGGACTCGAACCCGTGTCCCCTGCGTTAGCAGGCAGATTTTCAACCACTGCGCCACCAGGGAAGCCCTGTAGAGTTTTTAATGATGGCCATTCTGACTGGTGTGAGGTGACACCTCATTGTAGTTTTGGTTTGCATTTCTCTGAATAAGAATCTCTGGGAGTTGGACCCAGTGTACGTGTGTGTGTTTAATTTTTTTAAGATTCCTGGTTATCTTGGTGTATGACCAGTTTTGAGAATCACTGATCTGGGGCCACACTGTCCTTCTGTTACTCACACATTTCCTGGCAAGATGCCTTATGTTGTGATCTTCTCTCTGATCATGCTCATTATGGTAGTAGGGAAATACTGCCTTTCGTCACAGCACTGACAAGCTCTATGGAATTAGGCTTTGAGCCTTACTGGGCCTTGGGTGCTTTGCAAAGTAATTCAGAGTCTATGGAGCAAGTGAGACACTTCCCCAGAACTACCTCTACTCTTAGGCAAGAGCTGTTTCTGTCCTGCACTGATGAAAGCAGAGCGTGGGCAGCTAAATCCTTCCTGATTCCCATTGCCTATCTAATATTTCTAACTCTGCTGCAAGGCAGGTAGGTGGGGCAATTCCAGTATTGTATCCTGATGTGAATAAAGAACAGATTTGGCACCTTAAAATTTTATAAAACTTATCTAGTTAAGAACTCAAAAGTTCCAGAAAATTTTTTAGGATGTACTGAAACTCTTCCTACTCAATAAAACTGAGATTCTATTTGCCATACCTTCATGAACACATTTTGATAGGAAAGATAAGGGGTTTCCAAAAAACACCAAATGAATTTTTACCTGTGATCCCTCAATTTCATGATGGAAAGAGTCTGCAGTTTCTTTGACTAAAGCAGTTAACGCATAATATTCATGTGATGAACGAGCAACTTCTTGTCTAGATTAATTCCATCCATATATTGTGTTTTGGCCAGCTTAACTTGTTGAGCTAACCAGGATGCTCTTAAAGTAGCATTAATGATATCCCTTATGGATACATCTCCTATGGAAGAAATATACATCTTTTGTACATATATGCTTTTCACAGTTTAATAAAATTTACTTCACAAACTCATTCCAAAGAGATCCAAATGTCTTTAAAACACCTCATAATTTTGGAATACTAAGCCCCAAATTTAAGTTTTCCAAATGAAGAAATAATATATCAAGATCACAGAAAATCATTAGTCATTAATCTTCGAAATAACCATTATGAATAAATAGTAATATTATCAAATTAAAAGAAGAAATCATGGACTATGGCTAGCTAAGGGTCATCATGCACCCAAAGTAACAATTAAACATTGATCATATGCCAGGCACTGAGAGTACAACAGTGAATAAGACATAGGGGTCCCAATTAATTGGTGGCAGAGGAAATTAGTGGGGCCTGGAAAGTAGGAGACGGTAGGCTAGGAAGAAATAGGGGCAAGTGTCAAGGCCTGGAGGCAGAGTATGGAGGTTTGCTGATGCCTAAAATTTGGAGGGCGACAACAGTGAAGAACCTGAGGGTGGTAGGCAGGGTTAAATCATGAAAGACCTTGAAGCCCTCTTGAGAAATTATCCCAAGGGAAAGGGTTTTAAAAAGAGAATATACATATTTTAGGTATGCATTTTAGAAAAATCCCTTCAGCTGAAGTGGAAACTGGTTTAAAGAGGCAAAACTGGAGGCAGAATATCTAATAGGAAAGCTTTGGAAGAATGCAGGCCAGAGATGATGGTGACCTCAACTAAAGTTGTGGAGCAGTGGAGACTATGAGATAAATGAATAAATCTGGAAGATCCTAAGAAGGCAGAATTAACAGGACTCTGATCCACTGAATGAGTAAGGTAAGAGAAAGGGAGGAGGTTGAAAATACTCAAGTTTCTGGCCACTGCAGATGGACTCATAGATACTGCATTTACTATGAATGATTTCTGGTGAACCTTACTTCTTAGACTAGTACTCAAGTTAAATACTAAGATGGTTGATGTTATGTTTCTCCTGTATTTTTTTCTCCACAGATAATATTAGAAGCACTGATCATTTTTACTTTATCCCAAATAATGTGTTAATTCATTGATTTAGCAAATATTTATTGAATTCCCAGTAAGGTATAGGCAGGGTATATTGTTAGGCATTAGTGACACAGACCAGGTCCATTGGTTATTTAATGCAGTAGATTTAAGGGCTACATGGAAATGCAGGGTGCCATGACAGCATATAAAGGGGACCTGCGACCCTGGTTGGGCAGGAAAACTTCCCTGAGGACTACACTCTTTAGGGGAGGCCAGAAATCTGGGCAATGACCTAGACAGGGGACAGAGGAGGGGTACCAATGCACAAAAAAGAGCATTCTCAGAAGAGTGAACAAAAAAGGGCAAAGGTCTCAATACCTCAGGAGAATTCTGAATTTCTGGAGCCAAAAGAAGGTCAGTGAGGCTGGAGCACAGAACTCCTGAAAGTACATGGAAACAGATGAAACTGATGAAACTACTGAGGTAGGTAGTAGCAGGATCAAGTAGGGCTTTGTAGACCACTGAGGAGTTGCTATTTTCTCCTGAGATGAATGGGAAGCATTAAAGTATTTTAAGCAGAGGATCATAAGATTTGCATTAAAAAATGAGAGAGACAGACAGACACACAGGGAGAGGGGGAGAGAGAAAGGGAGAGCGATATCTATGATCACTGGGCCACTGTGAGGAGAATGGATGGGTGAGGGTGGGGAGAGCTAGCTATAAAAATTAAACCAGGCTTTTCCTAATTTTCTGTCTCCTTTTTGGTTTTTTGTTTATTTTTCAGAATTAACTGTGCATAACCCATTTTTCTACTAGGCAGTTACCCACTAAAATAATAAAAATTACAAAATGTGAAACTGAACAGCCCATTGTTTTTAGACTCTTAGAATCATATTTATGTCACAAACCTTACCCCTATTTCAATTCTGATAACTAAGATTGAATATGTTAAAAATATACAGAGAGCTTGTGATATAATAGAAATACTAAAAAATAGCTTGATGAACCAATTGAATATATAAAGGAAAAAGTAATGCAGTCTAGTCTTTGTCTTTGAAAAATATAGGTCAGTAGAGAGAAAAGACCATTAACCACCAGCATACAAATGAACAAAATTCGGCTTCTTTGCATAATTGGTTTTCTAAATGCCCACAGATGCCGCCTAACCGACTAAGAGGTATTGGGTGCTACAGAAAGTCTTTCAGATGTTAGGCTTACACACTAGGCAGGTTCTCCATAAACACTTCCACCGTTTTTACTTCTTCTAAGCAATTATATTACTTTTTTTAACTGACATTTAAATGTCCCTGCCTCAAATGTAATCTGCTAGATTAAGAACTGGCAATTGTCGCTATGTTTACACAAGAATTGCTCTTTTGGACTGAACTTTTCCACCTGCCTGATGTGTCCAGTTCCTGGTGCAGTCATCAAACTCTAGGCAGACAAGTGGTCTTCACATTACCTCCGAAAGGGTGTTTGCTTAAAGCTGCCCAAGGCCTTATAAATTCTTAGGTGGGTAGATGGAATTTTTACTTAAAGACCTATTTTTATCCCCCTTCTTGTGTGGCAGGTATAGAAAAGCAAAGTAAGCAGAACTTTCATTCTTCCACTGGACCGTGGGAGTGCTGAGATTCTTTCAAACTGATCCTCAATTCTCTTGGAAACCAATGGGTGTTGCTACTTAGGAAGTATCTCCTTACCATCTTGCTTATCTGGCCAGACTGCCTGGGGAGAGGCACAGCAGGGCAATGCAAGGAACTTGCACTTAGAGTCAGATCTGGGTTGGAATACTTACTGTGAGACCTGGGAGGAGTTACTCAACCTCTCTGAGCCAAAATTTCCTAATCTTTAAGGCTGAAGGAAATCTGTGGACAGAAAGGCCCCTCCGCGAGCGGTCAAAGCTGGTTTTGCGCCCCCAACACCTCTTTCTCGGGCTCGGTTATTCTACTGTAACTCCTCTTAGGGCCTTGAGGACCAGATCTGGAGCGTCAGGGGAGAGAGGCCACTGACCTCGAAGTCGGGGCGATGAACGATGGGTGATGGGACGGCACAGCGCTGGGGCCTGGCACTGGCAGTCGGCCCCGAGCCCGACGCGCAGCGCCAGGAGCAGTGGCAGCAGCAGAGGAGCCAGCCCCAGGGTCCCGTGCAGCGAGGGAACGAGGCGCCAGCACCGGAGCTGCGGCCAGGCCATGCCAACGGCTCACCAGTCAGCAGAGCTGTCCCGGATTCCCTGGCGGCGCCTGCTTTATGGATGAGAGGGGAGGGGCCGGGCCGAGCTCCCCGGCTGGGCAGGGGAGGAGCTGGGCGGTCGCCAAGTCCGGGAGATCTGGGGCTGCGGGAGAGAAGGACAGAGGCCGAGGCTGCGGTGCCCCTAGCACGTCGAGCCCAGGGAGCCGGGGCCTCGGTGCCCGGCAGACAGTTGACTCAAGTGTATATTGCCTACCATCTATGTGCCTCTCTTTGGCTCTGTGTCATAGTTGTTTGTGTCTTCCTTGTGGAGTCTGAAACTGGAGGGAGTCCTCAAAATGGAGAAAAGTAGGATGCCTTGGAAGGGATGACTGTGCTACATGGTTGGAATGGCCCAAAGATTTTGAAGTTACAGATATCTGTTGAATTAAGACAGCAGTTCGAATACGGCCTCTAATTTCGCCTCCTCCCATGCTTAAACTCCAGTGAAAACCTCAACCCACAAGGGAAGGGAGATGACAGCAACATTTTGGAAGCTTGAAAGCACAAGTATGAGGGGTAAGTGTCCCAGGCCCCAACAGTGCGGAAACTTGAGAAACAACACAATTTAAACCAGAATCTTCAAAAGGTTCCGGAACTACAAGAGATGCCTCAGGAATTAGGGGTGAAGGGGAGATGGAGGTTAGAATGTCCGAAAATAAAGGGGAATAGGTGAAAGCTGCTTGAGAAGCAGTGAAATCTCTAGATCCTTTCTCCAACCTTATGTCTCTGGGCAGCTGCCCCTCTCCCACCCAGGTTGAAGTTTGGAGGTTTAATGCTCTGGGGAGGGTGAATTCTCTGGTACTTGCTCGGGTACCATACCTAAAATAGGATATAACTGACTTTGTGCCTGACCACAGATATTGACAACATGCCCGCAGATCATCCTGTAGCAAAATTTAAAGTCAGAAACACCAGGCACCCACTCAGAGCTCCCTCTTTACTTTTTATCTCTTACTTTTAATCATGGACAACAAACAAGGCAATTGAATAATATAAAAGGAACAACAGAAAAAGGAATATGGAGGAAACAAACATTGTAGGGAGGACATTAAAAAAAAAAAAAAAAACTGTCAGTAATATCCCCAGAAAGGCAAGAGAAGATGAAGCCACAACAGGATGAAATTTTTTTAAAAAGCAGGGTGGGACTAGAAAGAGTTCTTGGAAATTAGAAAGAAGATCACAGAAATGAGGGAAAAATCACAGAAGATTTGAGCAAAGTAACACAGAAATACTCTTCAAAAAGAAAGAAAATTGGAAGAGCAGTCCAGATGGGAAGAAATCATCAATTAAGTAATTCAAGAAAAATTCCAGGAATGAAGGACAGGAGTTTTCAGAAGGAAAGAGCAAAGAATAGATCCTAAGAGCTTCCAGAGAGAAAAAAAATCACCAAGTATCAAGAATCAGAATGTCATCAGATTTCTCAACAGCAACATCTAAAGCTCAAAGACAATGAAACAATGTGTTTGAAATTCTGAAAGAATATGCTTTCCACATAAAATTCTGCAGAATTATCAATCAAATGGGAAAGTCATGTAAAATTTCAAAATATTGACCTATCATATACTCCAAATGGAGTGTCTAGGCCCTTCCCCCAGAGATTCTGGTTCACTAAGTCTAGATGGGGGCTGTGAATGTGAATTTGAAACAAGAGCCCCCAATGACTGTGATGCAGGTGGTTGTGGTATATAATCTGAGAGTCACTGCCATAATTAGTGATTTTATAATCTCTCCAAAGTACAGCTTTTTGATTTTACATCTCACCACTATTTCAGAAGCCTTCCCCATTTAGTAGGGCAGTATTTCTTATTATGGGAGCTCACAGTTTTGTTTTGTTTTGTTTTTGAGGACCTGTGAATAGCTATGAACTCTCTCTCCAGAAAACAGCATATACATATTCATACAAATTTTGTGAACCAGTTTTTAGTTTATCTGTGGACCACTAGGGTGCTCTTAGGTATAAGGCTAAGAAGTGATGTTTTACATTTACATTCCTGGAGTGGCATTCACATTTCTTTTACTGCCACAATTCACTCATGCCCCATTTTTCAAAACCTCCTCAGTTCAGCTCCTTCCCATTCTCCTTACCTACTGCTATCTTATCACTCCTGCTGCTAACTCTGCATATAAAAGTATCGAATTTTCCTGAACCAAATCAGGATGACACTTGATACGAATGACAGAAAACTCGAGCAAAAAAAAGTGGGAATTTATTACCTTAAGGAACTGAACTTTCATGGGTAGATCTTCAGGACCCGGAGACGTTAATCATATCACTAGTTCTCAGTCTCATTCTCCATTTCTTGGCTCTGCTTTTGTCTGAGTTGGCTCTGTTATCGGGTAGATTTTCTCCTTATGGTGCAAAGATGGTTTCCAACATCACAGGCTTCCTGACATCTCCAGAGCCTCCCCTAACATTTGCAGGCCCCAGGGCAAGGGCACAAATGGAAGTCCACACACCTGAAGTTAATTTTTTTTTTTTCTAGAGATTTTATTTTTCAACAGGAAGCCAAAGTGAAATGAGTGCAAAACTGAGACTATAAGTCTCGATATAGTTTTCCACTGATTAGTATCTCATTTTCTGCCTACAAATCGGTTTAAGGACACTAAGTTTTAACTCACGAAGTTGCTGGGAGGATACAGTCTGACAGTTAATATCAACATCTTTTGGTAGTGTTTGTAAATGCTTGGCATTCTCATTATTAGTAATGCAATGTTTTTGCATTCTTATCAGTAACATGTTTGTCATAGAATATTGTTGAGTTAACATTCTGAGAAGATCAAACAATATTCAAATTTTTATTATGTGCTGGTGAAAAATTAGAGAACACATTGCTTAGTGTTACACATAATTTTTGAGAGGGGGCCTATGCTTTCAACTAATTAACAACTTCCATATCACGTCAGGTTATTTGGGTACACAGAAGTGATTTTTTTTTTAACCCACAGCAATTGCGGTAAATTGGCTCCCAAACTGATCACGAGAGACTTCATTTATTCTTGTGTTGTTATGAGGTGAAGATGTATTAGGCCCGAAGTTTGTATGTTAGGGTTATTGCAGTGTTATTGAATTGTATTAAATGACTAAATTTCTCAGTTATTTAGCTTGAAAAAATACAATTCAAATATTGTAAAAATGAGACTCCACAGTGAATCCCCACAGTAAGGAGAATGGTCCACTTATTTCTACATGGAAATCCCCAGCTGTCACACTACATCAATGATCTGACATATAATCTGACTTCCACTGAGCTGGAATGTGCTTTAAAGATCAGGTCTCTGGACAAAGAATTTTAGCTTAAGTGGGTTATGCAACAAAAATGCCCAAACCCAGAGCACTGTTTTAGTGTGGACAGAAATAGCTTCTCTTGAAATAGCAGACAGGAAGAAGAAAAATGGAAGATTTTAAGCCCAAAGTCTTTTGCCTAAGCACATTTTCTAATGTTTCTGCCCGCATTTCATTAAAAGCTGGATAAAGGAATAGGGGTGGGGATAGAACCACATCATCTACTTTCTTAGAAGGTGCATACTGGAGTCCCACAGGCAAATTAATTTGGCCTACATTTTAGAAATTTGGGAAATGCCGTATTATAAAAAAAAATCCAGATTTCTGGCTTCTCTCAAGAAATGGAACCTTTGGCCACAGTGGGCCTGTATTCATACGGGGGGAAAGCAGGCTGGATTTGAGAATCAGCTACTCTCTACACACGCTCTATGATTTTCCGTTCCTTACCACCCTGAACGTCTTACACCACATTTACTCTACCTGCCTCAACCCTCAGGCATTGCGATTCCTGCAGTTTATGAAATGGATGAACGGGTCTTTTCCTTTTTCCTTTAATGATGGGCACATCTCTTTGTTAAAGGAAGAGGGTCGGGGGATGGAGAACTAGTGGCCGGTTTTACTTCCGAACAGTCCTAAATCTGCCATTTTCAGCAATCTGACCCTAACCTACTTTTTCCGAATGGCCCAAAGTATAAAACTAAGTATCAAAGGATGGCCCTTGTAGTTGCAGCTCTATCACAAGTCAGCCATGTGACCTTGGGCAAGTCCATTAAGCCCTCTTGGCCAAAGGTGATGGAAGGTCTCTAAACAGACTTAATACCTGTTCTGAATACTTCACAGGGCTGTTGCACAGCACACACGAGATTTTGAAAGCACTCGTAAGTCATTTATAAACCACCAAACGCTCCCTAGCACAAGCGTCTGTGACACCAGGGCTTTAGAAGCTGGGTTACTGGAACCCGCTTTGGTTCCACTGGGCTCCCACCTCCCACGTGAGCAGAAGATCCTCAGGGGAGAAGCTCTGGAAAAGCAGCTTAGAAATGCAGTGAGAAGTCCCTTAGCAGGGGTAAAGTTGTTGGTGGCATTTTCAAGCCCCCAGAGTGGCATACCAACTCCTAGCCTAGTCCCTGGGCCACCTTCCTTCTGGAAAACCCAGACCCCAGAAACCAGGCCTGAACGCTCCTAACCAGGACCCTAGACCAGGGATCCCAGACCTCACCCTCCTCCAAGTCTAAACATTTTCAGTTATAGCCAAGCCAACAGACTCTTCTCTATCTTGAAAAATATACTTCATAGTGACTAAATAGATAAATTTATCTGTGTGTGTAAGGCTATAGTTTTGAGTTTTTTTAATTTACTTATTTATTTATTTATTTTGGCTGCGTTGGGTCTTTGTTGCTGAGTGTGGCTTTCTCCCGTTGCAGCGAGAGGGGTCTACTCTTTGTTGCGGTGCTCCGGGTTCTCATTGCAGTGGTTTCTCTTGTTGCGGAGCACGGGCTCTAGGCGCACAGGCTCAGCAGTTGCGGCACACAGGCCCAGCTGCTCCGCAGCGAGATCTTCCCAGACCAGGTCCCCTACATTGGCAACCAGGGAAGTCCGAGGCTATAGTTTTTATAACTGAATATCAATGAACTATTAAGATGATTACACTTATTATTACAAAGATATTAATTATTTGTTTGGATTTTTTGTGTTTTTTATTATTCCATTAAATTTGTTTATCTTGTCTCTGTTTCAGCAAAATCATGCTGTTATAATCAAGATTTTCACATAATTTCTGGTCTGTTGAGAGTAGTGATCTTAAAGATTCAAAATAAGTGTAGTAAGTTGTATTCAGAACACATGAAATTTTAATATATATATTTAAAAAGTAGATTAAAGTCAATGTTAAACAAAAATTTAAATTATTTTATGCTTCTAAAAAGTTATTTTTATTCTAAAATAGTCAACAT